ATGGGATAATGTATTGTATACCCAGCTTGTATACACCACTGTCTTGGCCATGTTGTGAGAATGGATGACGGCCGGATCCCAAAGGATCTCCTTTAGAGAGAATTAGCTCAAGGAAACGCCCCACTGGCAGGCACCAATTACGTTTTAAAGATGTCCGGAAGAGGTTCTATGCTGTATACTTTTTCTTGACGACCTTGAAAGAAATCAGTTGCTTAAACTTCAAGACAATCCGCCATAGCCAAAAAGTTACCCCCGCACACTTTTATTACAGTGCCTATATGAACGTTCCCTAAAACTCTAATTAACTTCCGACTTCCCTCCCCGCCATCACCAAAAGTGAAATGGGATAAAGTTATAGTTTAAGGTTTAGTTTTTTTCTGCGCCTAAATGTTTTTTTTTTTTTCGCAACACCTTAAATTCCAAACAACATAGTTTTGTAAGAAACGGTTGTAGACAGTTTTTACTTTATTCTATACATAATTACCATGTTAATTTTAACGCATGTTTAAAACCTTTAGGATCTTTATTGCACGGGCTGTGCGAAGATAACGCCCGAGCTTAAAAATGAGCTCGTTTTTTTGTTGTTGTTGTTGTTGTTGCTGTTGTTGTTCTGGCATAAAAAACCGCTCTCTAGTGTCTTCTGCGCGTGCGCAAGATATAAGAGTATTCTAAAATAGGTCAGCAGACTCAAGCAGAGCACATGGCATCTTGCCCGAGGTGAGGCAAGCCATCTGTGTTAGTTTATGAAACTCACTGATTGCAAGAATGCATTCTTTTATTTCCCACACTCGAAAACTTTATACCAACTGCACACGATTCATCTGTAGACCGTAAAAGATGGCGATCGTCGTATATTTGGAAAGGTTCAGCTTCAGTTCAGCAAGCCAAACTCCGCGTGAACTGTTGCGAGAAGCCCTCTCGAAGTAGTGAGCTACCAACGGAATTCAAACAGAGTGTTTTGTATTAACTCCATAACTATGGATATTTAGGCTTAGTTGATTTGCAGCCCGGGTGGAGTACTCCAGAGAATTCTTGCTGGGGTTGTGCCGCTCGCACCCTGCGATCAGAGCATCCTTTTGACTTAATGATTGAGGAGGAGAAAAGGATGCTCTGCCTGAATCGCCCAAAACTTTTGAGTACACACATTGAATTCTGCAAAGCTGATCGTACTACATGAAAATTAACTTCGAAAGACATCAACACGACACCGAAAGAACCCAAAACAGAGAGGGATCGTAGGCGTACACAGTTGTCACGCCTTTTTTTTTACGAGCCATAAAAATGGCGAAACAGCTGTCTACGGCTACGATCCCGCTCTGTTTTGGATTCTTTCGTTTGCGGTCCTTTACAGTTCAAATGTCAATTCAAGGCCAACTGGTTGTTTAGAGTGCGAGCATCCGTTCATTGATTAACCGATGGTAATAACTGAGCTTACTGTACTAAGCGCACGACTGTTAGACCCGGGTTCCAAACTATATCCCAGCAATATGCCGCGCATGTTCAACAAAGATCCTACTCGATTCGCTTCATGCAGAGTCTTTCTCTAGCACGCCAAAACTGAGCAAACAAAAGAAAGGCCCTGCTGGTAGGGTGTGCTGCTCGGTTCTCCAAATCCTGACCCTATTTCAGACGAGAAAATGTCATTTTCCAAACCCGTTTTCAGACCTTGCTTCTAAAATCCATACAGATTTTCAGACTCTTTTTGTGTCATCATTACCTACATTGGAGAGCCAACAGATTTCTTAAAATCCATTTCAAATTTGCATGATACTTTTTTTTTCTTATTCATTTGGAATCCAAACGACAAATTAATACGTTCATGCACCTCTGTTGTTCCCATACCCGATTCCACACCAAAACGGCGCAAAAAAACATACCCCTTTAGGGTGCACATACCTACACGGTTTATAAAAAGGAGTACCTCCGGGCTTTGCAGAAGAAAAAACATGTAAAACGAATTGATTATTTCAATCAGCTTTTGTGTAAAATCCTTGCTCTATGCTTTGTATTGATATCATGGCCATTTTATCGATCTTCCTTCGTTTTTATTGTGAACTCTATTATACAACCACTGCAATCCAATTAGTAGAGATCACGCGCAAGCATCTTTTGCAGGTGTTTATGCATATGGACTGTTGTTCTTTCAATGTACGTTGGCTGTGATTTCTTAGAAGAAGCGTACTCATTTGAACGTTGTTATACCAAGAAAATGTTCTGCGGGAGCTGACAACAAAACTAACTATAACACCTATTTACAATTCATTTCAAGCACAACCAAGGCATTGTAAAGCAGGACTTTTTTTTTTTGGAGAAAAAAGATGTCCGATAACTTAGAATAATATTCTAATTTGTAATAAAACATGAAAAGGTCATACATGATTGTATTCTAACTAAAACTAAAAAGAAAAAAAAAATTATAGCGTTCTCAATTCCAAAAAAATTTCAAAAACACAATAGACAGAGTAATAAACAAGTCTTCTTCTCGTTGTAGTCTGTGAATATATTGACTTCAGATGGAAGCTAAGCCTGTAAAAAATGCGTCTTTACTTCCTTTATTCAGCGAACATGACGAACTCGAAACTGGGCTATTCTAATTTTACTCATCTAGAGCCTTGGGAGCCTCTTACGCACAGCAATATAATGGCGAATGGGATGCCAGGAGCGCAAAAGATACTTTTGCCAGGATCACCGTTTTTCGTAGCAGCAAGCTCCTAACATCAAAAAGGCCGACCTCTTTTTTTATTTTATATTTATGTATTTACTTGAGAATTTCATCATTATAATTTTTATATCAATATTTTGTTTTTCGGTTACCAAGAAAGTATCTCATTTGCAAGAACGCTTATTGATTATTTTCGAATTTAGTTTTTGGATATTTACCTTTGTTTCAAATTTCCAACTGCAACTCGACCATACCATTTGAATTGTAAAGACTTTACGTTTCTTCATTAGAACCTCTAAAGAAGGACGGCTTGTCAGTCCGAAATATCGGGAAAAGTAAGGTCGCTTTTGTCTTTGCATATTTGTTATTAATGTTATATCTCCTAGAATCCTCTAAGTACTATATCCATCGCGCTTCCGGGAAGTGGTTGGCTGCCCAACGCTTCTCCTGTAATGTCTTGCAAAACTAGCTCCACTTCCACGTCTTAAAAAATAATAATCATAATCATAATCATAATAATTATGGTGCAATATGTGCATCGGCAACGGGCGGAATAGCAAGGCCTAACTGAAAAGGGTAGATCAGTGCTACAAATGTACCTTAAAACAAGTGGTAGAAAATAAGGTTCTCAAAGTTCTGTTGGATTTCTGATGATTAGAAGATAGAAGGTCGGACGCCATCTTCGTTGAGAATTGAAAATTGTGGCAAACAATATTAAACATGTGTGGCAACTGACAGGCTTTTATCCTCCCAATACTTTTTATTTCTATTTTTTTATTAGTATTTAATTTTTTTATTTGTTTATTTACTTTTTTGTGCGTTGAGGCTGTAATTACTTTTGTTACTTACTGACTTATTTATTCATTACTATATGCTATGTATTAATTTTGTGAAGTTGTCGTCAGTAAAAACATAAATATATATAAATTAAAATATATAGAAAAATCTTCGTTGAGAAGCGGGCAAGGGAGGCCAAGATGATAGAGATCGCTATCCCTTGAAGTGCACGACTAAAAGACAAAGAACTGGAGATCTAGAAAGTAACGAAGTGCCAATTTCTTCGAGAAGAATTATTGAAGTTGTATAAACTGAAGAAAGTGACAGTTGTGCCAATTTTGATTGGAGAATTGGTAGCTGTATTCGATATGTTTGAGAAAACGTTAATATCAGACTTGAATTGTAAGTCACCCAAAAAGCGGCTCTGTTGAGAACAGCTGGACTATTACGAAAAGTTTTGTCCATTCAGGGACTCGAACGAAAGGACTTCTTTGGGACCTTAAGGAACAACTTTAAGCCTGAGATTCTACGATATAATAATAATAATAATAACAATAATAATAATAATAATAATAATAATAATCTTGATCAATAACCATTTCTTAAGACATAAGCAAATATTAACGTTAAAAGCCGACGTTTCGGTATCATCATGACACCATTCAAACCTTCGCATTATTTATTCATTTTGCCCTGAGAATGGTGTCATGATGATACCGAAACGTCGGCTTTTAACATTAATAATAATAATAATATTCATAACAAATTAAAACGGAAAAAAGAATCTTCGCTTTCAAAACTATCCGGATAAAAAGCGGAGAGAACATAAACGTAACTGATCACTAGCCTGTGCTTGCAAGGTGTCCAGATGGCGGGGCGCGGAGAAACAAAAAGAGGAAACGCGAATCGGGAACCGGGGAGAGCGAGGGAGGGAATGCGTTTACTCTCCCGCTTTCCCCGATAGCCCACGTTTAATTAGACTTTTTTCAAAGTCCTTGGCTTCTAATTTCCGGTTCCGGTAATTGGTGCTCTCTCGCTCGCTTTTGCTGCAGAAAACATAAAAAATCTACCACTCTCGCTTCGCGCTCGTGAAAAAAATTTCAGCGGAGCAACTTGCAGGCAGGTCTAAAGACTCTCACATGGCCCTAAGGCTTTAAAGACAAAACTACAAAGTTTTCGCGACTGAGACTTGAGCTTAAAGAAAACCAAACCAAATATTGAGATATGGCTAGAAAGCCTCGAGAGTGAGCTATTCTTTTCCCTCTTACCTATACGCTTTCTCATCGTTTTTGTTTTCCTTTTGTCCCGAGCCCCTCTGTCTGAAGTGATAACAATCTTAGGACAAACACACACTCTCATTTTTGTTTTTAAACATATATGTATGGAAAGTATGGCTGTGCTGTCTGTTTGCCCTCGAGGATGTTAATTATTACTTTCAGGAACAAAGGTGATGAATTCTGATCTTTATTACTTCTTCTATTACTTCTTCTCTCTTCCCAGCCCACGGCTTTCCCGATCTCTGCAAGATACTTTCTTGGGGTCTAGGCTAGCTAAGAAAAATCCCAGCCAACTTAACGACCTTTGATAGCTGCATTACGGCGAGTGGACCGACATTCGTGAGAACCAATGTTACATCTAAGAAAAAGGTGATACACGTTATTCACAAGAAAATCTTTTCCTGTAGATAAGCTACAGGGAAGTCAGCCGTTTTGAACACAGCAGATTTTTTCCGCGATAAGTTTACATCTTACTAATTTGTGGCACAAGGCATTGTATAAAACCTTGTAGGTACCATCGGAGCCTTCTCTCTCTTTCCACTTTATCAGCATTGCATACCCTTTATCGGACAGTCTCTCATTTTCTTTGTGAAATGCAATAATTCCTGCTTGAGAAAACCCCAGTCGACGTCCTAACCTATCCCAGTTGTCGGCAAGCAAGGTCGAAAGTTCTTCTAACTCGTCATCTCGAGGGCAGCCAGCCTTCACTGTAAAAATAAAGGTAAATGGAACATCTCGATATATAAATCAAAGAATTACAAATTAATATACAGATTTAGCTGAGGCTAAAAGCGAAGCTTTCGAGGGATCTTTTATGAAATGTCTTTCTCAAGTAATTCAATTTTTCCGTAAGTTGAAAGCAAACTGAATTCCACCTTAAAAATTGGACCTGATCCGCGATCAATTGAAAACCAAAAAATAGTCAGTGAACAAAAAATGCGTCACCTCAATGATTTGTATACCTGAGCCCGCGATACAATTATGTAACACTGATCAGTGGATATCCCTCTACCCTTGGTTTACACTGAGGCCCTGCCAGGGTAAATTCCGACAAGCGACATGACCCAAAAAGTAGCGACAAAGCCTAAAATGAAATCGCGACAAGCGACAACCTCCTTCGGCCAAATTGCAACAGTGACAGCAAAGCCGAGAATATGCGACAAAGAACGGTGGTTTGGCTAATTTATCACCAGTCTGAATGCCAAGAAGAAGTAATTTTCGTCAATTTTCCTTGCGCTTCAGAGATTGTCTCTCGTAAGTGGACCCTCCTTAGCGCGTCGCGTTGGCCCGTCGCGTAGTCTTTATTTACGCAACCCAGCACAAAAACCAGGTTGTCCGTCAAATAGCTTAATTTTACGCACGCTTTTCATCTCTGGTAATCACTACTTTCATATAGACCATAATTCACCTTGTTTTCCCCCTCAGAATTTTGCATAACCATTGTTTCCAAATTCTCCAGGGTATTACAGTCGTCCCAAGAGAAATCGAAAACAATGGTTATGCAAAGTTTTGGGGGATAAACAAGGTGTATTATGGTCTGTGTAAAAATGGTGAAGACTTTGCTTGTTCCTGAACTTCTCACATCCTTGACGACCTCTGTCGGACGGTGACGACGGTGGAGATACCAGGGAACAGGTAACTTAACCACCGACCTTCCAACCGCTCTCACAGAGTAGACCACCGCTAACCGGCCTTCACGTACGATTTATCAGGTCAGCTAGTCTTAAAATGTTGAACGTGGATCACTTAGGGTGTGTTGACAGTGTTCCTTTAAGCGAATCCAAAAACGGATTTCTGGTCCGAGATTTGCTGGATTTCGAAAGGAACGTGAAATCCGAAATTGGATTTGTGACCTTGGTAACCTTTCGCAAACGCGTGCAATATGCATGACAGCCTGAGCCTCTCAAGAAATGACATGTTTTCTACTGTTTGACAAATTATGCGATTATACCGTGCAGAATTTTGTGGTCGGCAGTTCGAATAACGACGATGGAATATAAACAGATCAAGAAAGGAGCGCGTTAACGTTGAAAATTATCTAAAAGGTTGTCGGCTGGTTTGATCCTGTTTCGTAGGTCGGTTTTTTTATGTAACACGATCCAGTGCCTATCGCGTCCACAAGCGAGTTTGTAGAAAGATAGCAGTTATTCGTCCCTTTTACTTATTTGTGTTTTTAAGCAATCTTTAGCGAAAAATGGCCAGCACATGGATATTTTACTGTACTACTATGAACAATCTTTTAGTGTTTTCAGATGTTCTACGGCAAATGGCAGCGATTAGGAAACTATACGGGAATACTTCAACTGAAAATACAGCTGGATCATCTGACTAATTTCGACTCCACTGTGAATGCAACAGCAATCACTGATCCGTTAATCTGGATTCGGATTCTTCGGATTTCAAATCCAATGTGAACCCTTTTTCAAAAAGGATTCACCAGATCAAAAATCCGAATTTGGATTTGCCGAAAGGAACGCGAAACCCGTTTTGAGATCGAAAATACGTTTTTGGATTCACCGAAAGGAACACACCCTTAATTGTGAATGGCGATGTATAGGACGGTGTTCTATACGCGAAAGGTTAACTGAGAAATTGCACAACTGTAATGGTTTCTTTACAACGCATCGCCATCCCCCTTTTCTAAAATTCCGACAAAGACAAAGAATTTTCGTTCAATTTCCGACAGCGACGTGAAGCATCACTAAACACCGACACGAGACGTTTTAAAATTCAGACGAGCGACATGGGAGCCCCCCCTGGCAGGGCCTCTACACTGGCTGATATAAGTTACTTCTAGAATCACAAAATTAAATTGCTCGGGTGAACAAGAATTAGGTTGCCTAAGACAATATCTCTTTTGCGTTCACACAATAAAGATGTGATCAAAAATCACAAAAATGGCTTTTTAGAGAACAAATACATATATTAATTTATAAAGCTGTCAATAACCTACCTACATCACGTGCAGTCGTACTCCTGGGTTGTCCACTAGGAAGCTGAGTGATGGTTGAAACTTTTTTCAACTTTGGAGCTGATGATTCTACACAAATAATAGTAATAACATGTTACGTTTACAGGTTGCTGGATAGCGATCATCTGAGCAACCTCTTCTACAGTCATAGGCGCCGAAAGTCACCTTCATTTTCAATGAGAGCCATTAGTTAAATGTACAAATGGCTCGACTTTAATTGATCTGAAAGTCCATGTCAGGTTGCAAGCTACATTATTTCTTTCAGGTTTTATAAACTACCTAGCATTTGGGTTCTGACGCAAAGTAATATATCTGTTGCGAAAACGAAATGATCAACATGTCAAGAGCGTGTGACAGAGAAAAAAGTCTGAGTCCCCGACAGGATTCGAACCTATGACCTCCCAAACACCGGGCGGGCGCTCTATCCACTTGAGCTACGGAGAACTCGTGGACAGCGAGGCCTTATACAAGGTTAATTTTTGACACGCTTCCTGTATACTGCTAGGATCAGCAATGTCGATGTCGCACTGTATGGTGAAAGAATGAAAGATTGTGGTAAATTTTAAGCTCGGTGAAACAAATGTGAAAACGAAATGATCAGCATGTCACGAGCGTGGGACAAAGAAAATATCTGAGTCCCAGACAACATATATATATTGTCTAATATATATTTTGTCCAATGGTTAAAACAAAATCGACGTTGCTTCTGTCTGATCTCCAGTTGCTTTATAAGAACGGCAACAGGGACATGGCGTAGCGACATGCGCCTACGAGATTGTATTAGGCTTGCTAGACTGCACTCGTGCAAAAGTAGCATAATATGCTGCACGCACTGCTGATATGTTTCTAAAATTATGCCAACTAATTATGCCTGGTTAGCTCAGTTGGGAGAGCGCCGGTCTGCTAAGCGAGAGGTCGCGGGTTCAAACCCCGGCCTGACCAAAAGTCAGGGTCTTTAAAATAACTGGGGAGAAAGTGTTGCCTTTGCAATGACAACTAAAAACGGTTAGACTTTCTAGTCTTTTCGGATAAGGACGAAAAACCTTAGGTCCCGTCTCACATCACTTTCACTTATCCGGTTCTTGTGGACCGTAAAAGAACCCACACCACTGTTCGAAAAGAGTAGGGGACATAGACCTGGGGTGGGTGGGTTATCTGCAAGGACACACTTTAACAGGAGCCTCGCTCTGTTGTGTGTTCCGCACCATATGGTGGAAGTGATTAAATAAATGGTCATTTTAGCAAAACAAGCAGAAGTTGGGCTTCTATTTTTTCTTTAAATTTGGTAAATACCTATGCAATAAACCCGTAACTGGCAAACACATTTACCCTATTTACAACAAGAAACTTTACTAGTGCATTATTCATAATAGATGTCCCGGCTATCACTGTCTTGCAAAGTATTTTCAGTGACAGAAAGGGAAACTACTAAAACAAAACTGTCTGACAACGACTGAGTAAAATCGCGGATCCCATCTTGGGTAGCCTAGCTAGTTATGCGCATGCGTTGAGTCCTCTGGAAAGAGTCCAGGGTCACTTACTGTGGAACCAAGGTCGCATGCATGTGCTGAATGTGACAATAACAAGGCAAAAAGAATGTTTTTATTACTTTTAAGTAATTAGTAATAATTAAAAATTGGGGGAGTGCGTTCGATGGGGAGGGGGAGGGTGGTAGGTAGTGAGTGGTAGGGGGAAGGGGGTGCAAAACCTGATGGGCTTGTAATATCGAGAAATCAAGTTCAAACACTTTTATCAATATGAATATCAGCAGCTGTCTTTAACAGTGTTATTGTTTGTCCTCCCACTTTATAATTCGTTACTATTCCTCAAAAATGCTTTTACATTTACTTGGCTTAACCTCTAAGTAAAGTACATGTAAGTAAGAAAAGCTCAAACACTGACTATGAACCTCAGGATATTCTTTTGCACTATAGGATGATCAATAAAATTGGCTAAAAATTGTTATACAGAAAATTAAAGTCATCTGAAAAGTTTAAGCGTCACGTATCACTTGCCTTGTTGTGTGACACGAGGCTAACACGACTCACCTACTAAGCACTGTTTTCAAAATACAACGCACCCGGAATTAGTAGGATGTGAGGGTCAATGTTTCACTGTTCAACTTCTTGTGTATTTTTCAAAAATGGTGGGAAACAAAAGGAAATACAACGCTGTAAATAGCTTTTAAAAGCGAAAAGATATAATTTGTAATAGAATCAAATATGGTCGATCTAAGCTGATCTTGCTTGAATCCATAAAAACAAATACAGTGTGCAAAACACATTGTTAACATAATGTCTCTACCTGGAGTTATGAAAACCGGGTTAGCAAACATTTTGTAACTTTTCTCAACTTCCCCTGTCTAATATCTTGTTTATTGTGTTGTTTGCTTATGTCCCATTTTTTTGGCTTGTCTTGTGGTGAGGGAGTTGTGTAGAAGTGATGTAGGCAGAATTACTATCTTACCCCCCTCCCCCCTCCCCGCCCCCCTATTTTTTTCCCTACCCACAATTTTCTTTAACACAAGTGACAGTTATCAGTTTGAAATCAGCGGGCGCCTAAAGCTGGTGATAATTTGTGCACTATGTTTCATTCAATTTGTTGTCTATTCCATGCGGAATCCTGTTGTTTATCGGACCGCGAAAAAAGTAGTGATTTGCTAACTATTTAAGTTGTTATGTATTAACCAGGCACCCTTTCGCTTCAGCTCACTCAACTTAAAAATTTTCTAGACTGAAATGACACCGGTTTGAAACTTCGCGAAGTAAGTTTACTGAATAAATGTTCTAAAATTTGCGTCATTTTAAATTAGGACTCGTTGGAATGCTTCTACGGACCATTAACGTACTGCCCGGCGTCATATAAAGGCTTTTAATCGGCCTTTGAATGAGTTTTGTTGTTTTAAATTTGCCAATTAGTCAAATGAGTTGATATTTTTGCTAACCTGGTTTTCAAAAATCCAGGTATATCTACATATCCGATTATCTTAGAATGGAAATTTTTCTATGATAAAAAAAATAATAATTGAAAACTGCGAGAAAAACAAAAACAAACCTGCGGTAAACAGAAAATCGCCAACCTTTCATCTGTGAACGAGTGTCACAAAATAGATACCAGCTCCCGGGCGAGAAAAACTGAATACATGAGATCGAAGCAAAGTGTGCCAGGCCGGTCCAAGGAACACCGCGGCAAAACGCAATGCGCATGAGCACAAAATTTGACATCCGGTCAGCTTTTTATTTCCGGTCTAGTATATAACCCAATTGCGTAAGCATAACATTGCCGTCGCACCAAGTTTAAAAGCAAAAAGGGAGAAACAGACAAAAAAGGGGGGGAAAAAATCACTTCATTCGAAAGCTTATATATTTTTCTAGCGTCAAACTTTTGCACCACATGGTTATCTGTTTACACCAACGGTGAAAATGATGTTTGAAGTTTGCAGGTCGCGAGCGCTCGACATGACGAATTTGTTTTTACTGGCTTTCTGGCATAAGTTAATTTGGGAGAAGGCGACAACTAAGAAAAGAATAACAATACTTATGAAAGAAACCAAAATAAAGAAGTCATCATTATCATTAACACTAAAACCAGGAAATAAAATTTTAGTCTGTTTAATAATTTTTTTATTATCGGAGAAAACAAGAACTCAAAACAAGATGGGCGGGATTTAATAACAACTTCGACTTTGATGACTGCAGTCACGAACACAGTGAGTTTTCAGTGCTGTGAAACTAAACATGCCTATTAATGACTTTCATTCAAGAAAATGCCTATTTAATTCTTTTACATGGTTGTTCTTTGGTTGAACACTTCAATAATTTCAGACTGTGGGGCTCGGCTGCGTTTCACGCAAACACGAAACTTCCAGCTGCTAAATACATGGCATGAAAAGTTCGACTTCTAAAAGCCATCGAACCAGCTTTCGCTCTCTGATTCTGAGAATGAAAAAAATTAATAGAGTTGTCACCTTGCTGCCAACCTCAACAATATAATTACGCTTATGTTTCATGGCAATCAACTCAGAAGAGTTTCGTTTCAAAACACGGTTAAAACTCACTGGTAAATAAAACTAAAAAGCGATTGTGTGTTATCGTTTTCCAAATAAAGCTCGAATCGGCTTTAAGACATGAAGACTGAGAAACTGAAGAACGTTAACTGAAAATTAGAACTACAATACACCAACTTGCAATGATAACTTTTTATGTCTTAGTTTCAGCCAGGTTAAGTGAAAAATAACAGTAAAAAATTTTGTTTTCGTGAATGAAAATCAGTTTACCTGACGCTCTAGCCAAAATTACACACTAAGTCATTATCATCTTACCTTTTCTGAATCTAATCGACTGACTGTTTCAGTGATCTGTGCCTGGTTGTTATCCATAAAAGCAATTTCAATAACCACAAAATAGTCAAAAACACGAGCAGCATGAAGCAGAACAACTGAACCGCAAGCTGCACACAGAATGAAGCCGAAAGCGCGCGGGAGACTTTGATCTGACTGGAAAGTGTGCCTGAAAAAGAGACCGGAAATGCTCAACCTGGCGCATGCGTAGACGTTTTGCCGCAGTGTTGGTCCAAGGTGGCGTCCAAACCGTGAAATCGCATGGCATACAGAACGGTTACTAGCTAGTGTACGGTACACGAATAGTCAGCGTTCTCCCTCGTCGAACGCAACAATATCAATTTTAAAAAGGCTGGCCAAAAGTAAAAATTATGCCCATAGTGCTTTGTGCGGAAAGGAGTACAAAATTATTCGCGCAATGACGAATTATGCCAAAAATTATCCTAGCACAATTTATCAAAGCCTATACGAGAACGGATAAAGAGTAAGACAACTTTACCTGCATTAGGCGCTAACCAGGAATGGCAAGGATCCTCTGGATCAGAGTTGGATGGTCTCTTCAACTTTAAAACTGGTCCAACAATAAAAAATAAAGATATCACACTCAGAAAAACCTCACAAGAGATGAGGTATCGGAATAAAAAGTCGAACATTCTAGACATTTTGTTGTGTTCCTATACCGGATGTCTTTGTTCTTGTTTTTTCGAAGTTGCTAAAAGAATTCTGCACGGTTTCAGATCTATATACCTCTTAAAATGATATAGAAGTAACATATGACCTCAACAATCCTAGGTTTAATTAAATGTCTGTTCGCCAACTGCTTTTACAGCACATAGGTTCAAAACATGTCTTGTTAAACTGCCGTCTTCATAAATACCTAATAATTTATTGAAGAACAAAACATCAAAACCAAGAATCCCCTCAGAAAAAAAATAACTGAATTATAATTGATGTTTAAAACTATTTGCGTATGGAATTGTCCTATTACTGTCCCATGAGGTGTAAGACTTATTAGTAAAATCCGCCTAATGGTGTATTATCAACGCTGCGTTCTGACTGGCTGGACTACTACTAGGCTATACGTTATAGCCCACTAGTAGCGAAAAGAGTCGGCTTTTTGGCGGCAAAAAAGGATTAAAGTCGAGCTTTAACTAGCTAAATTTTTTTCATTCTCGATATTTTTGACCAACTAGTTGGATTTTACTAAAACAATTATTCCTCTCGCCCTCATCATAGTGGGCTATTGACTTAGAGCCCATTTGGGCTCGAGGAATAATTGTTAAATATACTTTGCAGAGAGAAAGTAGGGTAAAAATGGAATTCATACTTACTACTACCAATGTTTGTTATCCTGTGGACAAGATCTCTTATTTGGTCCTCCCAGTTGTAAGCGCTCGTGTAATTCTGGAGGAGTGTTTTCGATTCTTGAAGGCGAGTAGCTCTATCTTTTGCCCAAACCTTCTTGATCTCTTTAGCCCACTCACCAGGTTCTTCAGAATGGATGACACTGCCTGAGCCGAAAGGGACTTTCTTTAGGGCTTCCCCAAATCCCGAATTGGCACTAACAAGAACAGGCAGCCCAGCTGAGAGGGCTTCCAAAGCAGCAAGTCCGTAACCCTCTGTTCTGGATGGCATGATGGCTATGTCTGCTTCGGAAAAGACCCGTTTCAAATGTTCCCGGTCTTCGATAAACGGTCGCACTCTCAGACGACTGGGAGGGATATCGCAACTCTTTAAATTGTTTGCAACGTCAACTTCTTCACTGTCGTATGCGCCAACAAAAATCAGCTGGGCGTTATTTAGCTTAGCTACAGCTTCAGCTGCGATATCGTAACCCTTCAGAGAAAAATCCTCTCTATCGCTGCGTCCGAAAGCCAAAACTATACACTTATTTTCGTCTCGAGTGCCATGCATCACATCGGAAAATTCCTTGAAAATGCCAGGTGTAAGGACAAATAAAGCTTGGTCTTTCTGACAAAAGCGAAGGTAACACCTATATGCATCTTCCAGCTTTGGCCCAACCGTCACAACAAAATCAGCCATGACACAGAGTTCTACTTCGTGCATACGCTTCTTTACACCCTTTGGAATGGCATTATTGAATTCTTTCAACATTCCAACCTCCTCTGGGTCCGTGTGCACGAACTGTATCCACTTACAAAGACGACGTTCCCTTATGAACTGGGCTTGACGACCGAGCTTCACGCCATGTCCAATAATGAAATCAATTTGTAGGTCTTCTGGCGGCGAGCAAAGCCATTCTATTTCTTCATCATAACCAGGCAATCTCTTTGCCTGAACCAGAGTAATGTTACAGCGTCGAGCCGCGTCCCTATCTTCCTCGCTGCATCGCGGAAGAAACATAAACACCTGCAAACCAGGATGTTTTGCCAATTGTATCGCTAACTCTCTAATTAAAGTTGACATCCCTCCATACTTTGATCCCCATTCTGATGCCAGTGTTACCACTCTTGTTTTGGAGGATGATGCCATATGGTTTACTTCAACCGAGACATTCTGATCAGGAACCCTACAAAGAAGGATTGTAAAGGATCAAGCAATTTTTCAGATTATTGAAGTTACTATAATCAACTGCTATAATGGGTGATACATGCAAACTCGTCTTAACAATATCAGTTAAAACGACCGATAGGAAAGAAATGCTCGGCCAGAAAGTTTGTTCGCTGATAAATCACTGATGATGGCCTCCTCACGCCTTTCGTGCAATGTAAGGAAATCCGGATTTCGGAATCCTGGGCTTTTCAATCCGGAAGGAGCAAGGAATCCGGAATCCCAATAACGATTGGATTCTGGAATCCGAATTCCACTGCCAAAGTATCCATAACAAGAATCCAGTGGTATCTGGAATTCCGGAATCCACAGCGTGGAATCCAGAATCCAAGATTGTCTTGGATTCCCTTACATGGATTACCTTATATGGATTCCGTTACATGGATTCCCTTACATGGGGCTTAAATTCTCGTCATGTCCCTTTAATCCTTTTACTCCCACAAATGGAAAGGAAATAAAATTCGACAAAATTTCCAACTTCCATTTTGTAAAATGCTGAAAAGCAAATAGCACCATTTGAAAGTACTGGCCCCAGTTGTTCAAAAGGTGGATAACGCTATCCACTGGATAGCGCAATTGGTTTTCCTAACACTTATCCGTTGCATTAAGCGCTATCCAACTTTTGAACAACTGGGGCCTGCTGAGTAGCTTTTATTTGAAAGGTCACACCGCAGGATTTCGTCCTCAGACTAACGGTTAGAACTAGCTTGAACACTGTAACAAACAGCATCACTGGAAAGTGACGCTCAGTAGCTTTTATTTGAATGGTCACTCCACAGGATTTCGCCCACAGACTCAGAAATTAGAACCACGATGCCATTATTCATTCTAGGGGTGAAATGGTTAATCACTAATGATTACGCCGCTCTCAGCGTCCATAAGACAACGGCCCTCGTGACAGACTGCCGTCACTGCACACGTGGTATTTCAGAGCTGTTCGATGCAATCCATATCGAAATCTTTGGATACATTCACACTAAACCCTCTTCTTGGAAGAGGATGTGGACATCTGTACTGAAAGAGTCAATGACTTGTTACTAGCTGCTGCTGATATGTGCATTCCAACCTTTACTGTGAAAAAGAAAACTAATCCTCCATGGATTACCAAGGAAATTCTCAATAAGATCAAAAGAAAAAAAGGTTATGGAGAAAACTAAAGGCTCATCCATCAGAAGTCCTTAGCCGAAAGTTTAAAGAGTTACGGAGATCCGTCAAGCAGTTAGTAAGATCTGAGTATAAGAGATATCTAGAGCATCTGTCGAGTCAGCTGAAGGTAAACCCAAAACGATTTTGGAGTTACCACTCAATTAAGTCGAAATCAAAACGGCTTCCTGATGTAAACACCTACAACAGAAGATCTGCGATAAAACCTCATGAGCAAGCTACCTTATTTAATATTCACTTTCATTCAGTTTTTTGTAAACAGAGTACTGGGGTACCGGATCTAATACTAACTGACTTACAAGATCCAAGTTTTGAGGTAGTTACCAACCAAGTGACATGTGACACTAAGGAAGTTCAAAAGCTACTTAGCTGTCTTAATGCTAATAAGTCTTGTGGAGTTGATAAAATACCTGCTCGTTTACTTAAAGAGATTGCTGACACATATGCAGTTCCTCTGAGTATGCTCTTCAATTTATCGTTCAAACAGGGACGCCTACCTAAATTATGGAAATCAGCTAATATTACACCCATTCATAAGGATGGTGATCGAGAGCCAGTAGAAAATTATAGAGGCATTTCACTCTTACAGTCAAACCAGGTCAAGCGTTCCCGTCGCTAACAAACTAATGAATTCATTAATGGAAAAATGATTTCGTTTGTTGATTCAATAATCCATTCATAAAATGAATAATCCAACGGTCAAATTGTACCTCGATTCAATAATCAAATGTTGATTTGGTTTATGAACAAAATCTACCTGTTCTTTATTCTTGTCTGTTGTGTTCAATCGTATTTGCTTCCCTTTTCCTGCCGTTTACGATTGCGTTTTTCATTGCCTTTAATCAAAATAACAGCTAGAATAGACAGACCGCAAACGCAAAGAAACTGACAAAGGCCGAGGATCGAAATCCACCAATCACCGCACATACACTGACCTCAGTTTGACCGTCGTGTTTTCTAAGAGGTCAGGCCTAGGTCTGTTGCACTGATTATTGGCCGCAATGTTTGGGTTTGAACTTCAGAACTCGCCTGCACTCGACTCTCCGAAAAAAAAGAGCAAAAAACAAAATTCTGAGGTCAACTTGTGGAAAGTGTAATTTTTCAAAAAACAGTAATCGAATCAACATTCGATTATGGAATCGAGGCTAAATATGACTATTGGATTTTTCATTTTATGAATGGATTATTGAATCAACAAACGAAATCATTTTTCCGTGAATGAATTCATTAGTTCGTTAGCGACGGGAACGCTTGACCTGGTTTGACTGTAACTATCTCTGGGAAATGCCAGGAGAGAATTGTGTACAATGCTATTTATGATCAAGTTATTGCATTCATACATGATTCTCATCACGGGTTCCTCACTGGTCGTTCCTGCACTACTCAACTACTCTTAGTACATCATGATTGGTTCAAAGTCTTGGACAAGAGAGGTCAAGTTGACGTAGTATTTATAGACTTTTCAAAGGCTTTTGACCTTGTCTGTCATAATATTCTATTAACCAAACTTTACAAATATGGTGTCCATGGAAACTTGCTAAATTGGTGTAGAGATTATTTAACAGAACGTCAACAGCGTGTTGTAGTGAAAGGAGAGGCTTCTGACTGGTTAACCGTAACCTCTGGTGTCCCACAAGGTTCTTTGTTGGGACCATTATTCTTCATAGTCTACATCAACGATTTACCGGGGGTAATTAGTAAGGACAGTTCAATTGCTCTGTATGCTGATGACAGTAAAATGTATAGGGTTATTAGTACTCAAGAAGATCTGTCTACTTTTCAAAGTGACATAGACAAAATTTCAGATTGGTGTAAGATGAATAAGATGAGAATTAATACCAAGAAATGTAAGATCATGCGAATAACCAGGAAAAAGTCACCATTAGTTGGGGAGTATAATATTGAAGGTCAACCTTTGGAAAGTGTTGATATGTATAAAGATTTAGGATTATTTACTACTAGTAATCTTTCATGGAACCAACACGTAGATAAAATAACTGCTAAGGCTAATAGGGTTTTAGGGTTGGTTAAGAGGACTTGTAGGGACTTAAAGGATATTGATACCATGAACAGACTTTATTGTAGTCTTGTGAGACCTTTACTAGAATATTCATGCGAAACTTGGAACCCTCATACTAAACGTAACATTGATAAACTGGAGGCTGTTCAGCGAAGAGCTACCAGATGGATCACTAGGTCTGATGATGATTATGATACTAGACTATCTAAGCTAAAATTGTTGTCATTATCTAATAGGAGGTTCACTAGAGATGTTACATTTTTTTTAATGTAATTAATGGACATTATGATATTGACATTTCAAATAAGCTCATATTTTGTAAGGACAGAAATACAGGTTATAACTTGAGGAAAATGACACACAGGACCTTGTTCCAAATTTTAGTAGAACTGACGGTTTTAAATACAGTTTTTTTAACCGTGTTGTAGATGAATGGAATGGTTTACCCAATCATATTAGAGAATCAAACAGTATTGCAACTTTTAAAAGAAATGTGTTAAGCTTTATTAAGGATAACTAGAACATTTATATTTCTATTTGTATATATTTTTCTTATATGTTAATTAGTGGGGGCGTCCCTAGTATGGCGCATTGGTGCTTTTGGTTGTCTCCTTCTCCACAACTTTTTTTTGTTTTTTTTTGTTTTGTTTTTTTTGTTTTTTTTTTTGTTTGTTTTTGTTTGTTGAAGTAGTGTTAGTTTATTTCATTTCATTATTTGCTTGTTATGCAGTGGAGTGAATCTGTAATAAATTTTTCCCACTTTGCGAGCAGAACATCTGGCCTTTTCCGAACAAGCGAAAGCGAAAAGGCTACGCTAGCACTTTGTATTTTTAATTAACTTTAAAATACTATAACAGAATTTAAAGCAAATGTCCTTTGGCGAAGTGTTGAATCGTTGAAGAAATTTGTTTATATATACACACCAAGTAATGCTCTGCTGAACGTATATTTTGCACTTCCCTTCGCGATTGACTCTGTAGGAGTCAACGGGCCGCCTGAATATAGAAGAGCTGCTTATGGCCTGAATCGCGTGGATCGAGATATTAAAACTTAGTTATTGGCGCACTTGAATTCAAGGTTTGAAAATTACAAGAACAAGACTGTTTCCAATTCATACCAAATTTCATTACACAAGATTCGTCAGGTAATGGATTATATGCAGTTCAAATCAGCGTTCTTCGCGATCGGTTGAATAAAGAAGAAGTAAAGCGAATGATAATAAACATCGTTACACAAGAAATGAACCAGCATCCTGCGACTCGCTATAATTTTACCTTCTCGCTGATATGTCTGCAGATCACTGAGATTTTGGATGCTCGAATATTATTTGATTTGTCGCAAAACTATGAAGCGTGAAGACAGAAGAAAGTTGAATGACAAAATTTAGAAATTACCTCGGTTGTAGCACGAATTAGCTCCCAGTATTCGTCTGGCGGCAGTGCGTTCTTCAAAGTTCAGTGAGATCTTAGCAAAACCAAGCTTTTTTCTGGTAATTTGAGTTGTTGATTAAGACGAACGGCGTTATCAATATTGAATACCTTAGAATAATAAGTAGCCACCTTTGCCCTTTCGCTTTTTTTTTTCCTGTGGAAAAGGATTCAGCTGGATTCATTGGTCACGCTTGTAAACAAAAGCGAAAGCAAAAGCTAAGAGACCATTTATAATCCTTGGCGGGGAGGGGGTATGGGTGAACAAAGTTTTCTCTCTTTTTGTTCATGCGGAAGTCGAGGCTTTTCATTTTTCATGTATCTATATGACGTGGCATGACGTAAAAGCTTACTACAAAAGCGCTTTGTCTGCGAACTGCATGCTGAAGTAAAAGGAATAACGGTGTAGAAAGCGAAAGGTAAGAATTTCGAGGTAAGACAATCAGTTTTTGGAGCGTTACTTGTCCCTTATTGACGGAAACCCAAGCTTTGGGTTTAGTATTCAAGTGTTGTTTCCTTAACAGCCCTTAAGTTGGGATCAATATGTCTGAACTCAGTAGCCGGCTACGCTTCGCGTTTCATCCAAGATTTGGTTCCCGTTTAGCTATATGAAGATGGTGCGAAATCCCTTGTTGTCTAACAGAAAATTAAGACCGCTAGCGCTCGAACTGCCAACCTTGGCGGCCGAATCTAGTTAGGTAGTCCATTCGCATTGTCATCTTACTCTGCGGAACGGCGGGACCGGGGGAGGCTGGGAAAATTGTTTATATATTAGTCTTTTATATAAACATTTCACTTTCTTGGCTTCTTCCACTGGACGGTTTCAAATTTATTTTTTGTCCTGTGTTTATTGCATGACAGTGAAAACGAAGAATTTATCAACTTTTTTCTAGCATATGGAAGCACCTTGACCGTAAATGTCTGACAAATTCTTCTATCTAACACGTTATAAAAAACACGCGCTTGCTATGTGATTAAATACGTCCATGATCGTGTTGTTTGTCGCGCTGTAAAGTTATCAACTTCATACTACCGAAACTGCCGATTTTCCTACTTTGTTCATTTGCCAAAACGTTAGTTATAGACGGAAAAGCTTTTCCTCGCCATAGGAAGGCAAATGTTGCCTCTTACTGCATAGAACTCAAGAAAAATTCCCTATTGAACCAGAAACAAACTTGTCAGCACGTGGCTCCAGGGCATCGTTGTGAAGCAAAATGTGTCATTGTTTATACCTACACCTCTGATTGGTTTCGCGGGAAAAATAGCCAGCCAAGCATGGTGATCATGACCGTATATAACCTGAGATCAGGCCCAATTTTAGCGGTTCTCATACATTCTCTCTAAGGGCTACCACTAAAATTTCGCCTTCCCCGCCGGACTGGTATTTTCAAAGCGAAACGAAAATTCAGCTTGATCTCAGGTTGGACCGTATATAGGGCAGTATGTTGTGTTTACCGCTGGAAAACTTTATTACAGGCCTATCCAAGAGGGCGACCAAGTCAACAAACACGAATTTCAGTTCGAGTGCTTGTCGAAGGTATTGTTACAGTTTTCTCCTCAAGGATTCACTCAAATGCCACAAAACTTTTCGGACCTTATCTAGACAAGATGACGAAATTTTGCAGCGCAGTTCAGACCAGGTTTTTATTTTTTTGATTGTCTCCTAAAATTGTCCAAATTCAATATGTTTTGGCGCACTGCGCTGTAAATCTTTCTTTTATGGTTTTGTTTACGTGTGTCTTTTCATTTTGAATTTTATTGAATCCTTTTAAATTTAGAGGCAATTTTATTCAGAATTTTCAACAACAACCTATATGTTTATAAATTCCACAAATTCCTTAATAGTTATCCGAAGGAAGATGCAATATTTCAAAACCCCATATACGTATGACTTGCATCCAAAAATTTCACTTACTTTTATTAAACACTTCTAATATTTTCACATGACTACTGATTTACAAAAAAAATGCCCAAATTAGCCTCCGGTACCACCCTGAAGTCACAAGTAAGCCCATCCCCCTCCCCTCCCCCCCTCACCCCCACCTTAGACAAACGTCCCGCCGTCCCAATGTTGTACTGTATTTTAAAACATATAACCTGTGCACACGATTTGAAGGAATTTCTGACTCAAACGTCCAGTCAGGGATACAGTCATTCAATTTGTTTGACAGAATCAAAACCATTGAATTTGTATCGCGGTCGTTTTAGTCACTTTCATTATTTCTTTTGAAAAGTGTTTCAACTGTTTGTTGCCGAAGAGATCCCCGAGGGGGGTTACTCCCGTATAAAAGTGACGGGGGTGCTCGTCGGAAAATTTCGAGAACAGCCCTAAAAGGTGACAGAATCTTGTTTCATGGGCCTGTCTCAAATTCATTTCCACCTCTAAGAGGTACCAATTCAACAACAATAAATTATATCAATGGCACTACAAATTATAATAGCAATGAAGATAACTTTAAGAACACTTTCTTCTCAAGGACTTTTATGAAAGTATTGTCATAAATATTTATGCTAATAAAGCGTGTCAGCAGTCCAAAATGCCTACTCTAAATTTTATAGCAAACTTTTAGAATCCTAGTCTAACATATATATTCTCTGCCGGGTTTTTACTGTCACGCTATAAAAAATACAAATCGAAACCATTCAATACAGAAAGTCCATAATCTGGAAAGTGAAAGAAGATAAATGAACAAATAACCTTGCCAAGAACTGATCAGGTCAGTGCGATATTTAATATGCGAGATGTACTCGGAAAAATGTTTTACCCAAATTTACAAAGCCTTGAATGGAGATGCCATGTTGGTGTCCTTTTTGACCTCTTTTGTTTTTAATATAATTGTGAATGATATCACAAATTTCTCTTAGGTACTTTTTCTTATATCATTTGCTGATGATAACAATTTATTCTTGAGTAATCAAAGGTACAGGAACTTGATATAAACTCATGAACTAAAAAGATCTAATAAGATGACCGGCATTATATTTTTGCCAAGGCTAGTTTTCATCATTTACCTTTTAAAATGCTTCAAATGTTGTATAAAAACACTACGATCTACCCATATTTATTTACATACTGTAACATCACTTCGGCATATACTTATCCTACTGGACTAGAGCCTCTCAAAACACTGGAAAAACCGAAAACGTATCAGGGTTATGGCAATCAGTACAGATTATTCAGGAAAATTAGGAACAGTTTTTGAGTCTCTGAAAACACTGGCGGTGTTTGAATTTAAGATTTATCATACAGACGTTTCTGGGTCAAAGAAGTTCTGGGTATTAACATGATTAATAACACCATGACAAGCTACCAGCATTTTTAGACAACCTTTTTAAAACTAATGAAAGTATCCATTATTTTCCTACAACACACAATCTGCATCAAACAAATACATATCGAATTTAGAAGAACAGTACATCTAAAAGCTCATCAGAGCTGGCCTGATCTCCTGCCTAATGGTTCATATTGTGTGATATGTTATCTATAACCGAATGAGGGCACTTCTCCTTCTTCTTCTTCTTTAGGGATTATTTTTGATTTACTGTCACCTTTGAGTGAGATTCGTATTTCTCTTTCTTTTGCACTTTAATGCTCAATTTAATAGAGTCTCCAAATATCTTTCACGGAATTAACAACTAAGGGAATTGTACCTTGCGGTATACTGCAATTAACTGCAGCTGGCAAAGTTTCCGTATCTGACTATTTTGCCGATACCACTCGGATCGAGTCGTTTTGGTTAACATTAAAATATGACTGTTTTTCTGTTCAATCTGTTTTTCAATATTATACTTCTTTTCTTGTAGGAACCGAGATTCTGGTGGGATCATTAAGAACCATCCACCAACAACAGAATAAACAGAGAAAGACCTGTCTTTCATTAACAATGGCGGATCAGCACGGGTAAATAAGCTCTAATTTTCCAAAGTTAGTCTGTCGTACAACTATAACCAAAGATATTCTTCTCAACGCCCTTTTTCTGTTTTTCCTCTCCCTTTCCTTCCCCTTTTTTTTTCCTTCCGTTTTTGAATGCTGGCAATGTGGAGTGGGACTGGGTCTAATGACGTCTTTATCTTCGAAAACGCGAATCACTACAATAAAAGTCAAAACTGGTCTATGAGTGTGTGTAATCAAATGGTGGCGAGTGAAATTATTGAATGAGACTGAATATAATCAGAACTGCCATTCTGTACCGCTCAACCAAAACAACGCAACCTCGTTCCCGGTGCTTCCTCAGTTGTCGTCCGTTTTTTTGGCGTTAATGCTGTACTATTGACGTCATTCTCCAGATATTGCATTGGACTTCCAAATTTGGTCAATGCCAGCTGGAGCTGGTTATGGATTATTAGCGGTGAATGAATAATAGTGGATATTAATCGATATTAAAAGATTATGTCTGAAGGTCCAAATGCGCAAATTACAGGAGCTGCGTGTTGTTTGTAACGTTTTACATTATGTTTGGAAGACATAATTATTTGTTTAAAACGAAACTGTGATTTTGCCATTCATAAGTAATTTCTCAAGTTCCATAGCCAATAAGGACGCGCAACTGCCATTATGAACAAGATGAATAAGACAACCATGACACAGTTTCTTTAAGTGTTTGGGCACTATCGATTCCTCGCGCGTATGAACACTCGAGGAATTAAAAAATCACAATTGGTAGCCTGAGTATCAGGCTTCTTTAGGGCGGGGGGAGGGGGGGAGGGAGAGAGAGAAACGAAAAGGAGAACAGCAAGGATAGAGCTCATACAAACATGCCGTAAATTTGTAAGAAAAAGAAAAAGAATAAAGGTCAGAAGATATACAGATGACTATGCAAGAAATCACTATTTAAAACCTTCCTTGGTTTAGTTCCTAATGACTCTATCTCGCCTCAGCTGAATCTCAGAGAAGGTCATCACTCGCAATACATTAAGCTCAGTGCTTCAAGGCTTGAAAGCCATCAATTGTTCATTTTCTGTTATTTTTTTTTTGTTACCCTAAGAACTGTAAGAGATTTTTTCATAAAGTTGAAATGATTCCTTCAAGGAAGACGTCATAAACAAATTCAGTACTTAGTTTTTCAGTAACTCAGCACTATGGTGGAATAGGCCATACGCACTTTTCAAAACAGGTCTGGCCTCACAATTATCCATATGATATGTACGTAGGCGACTCCTCTTGCTATTTTCACTCAGTCTCTGATAAAAGATGGCTTGCACGCGCAAGTACAAGCATAAGCATACGTAACTAAACTGGTGCCAAGAGAGCATAGGAACAAGAACAGGAAGCTTTTAAATTGTGACAGTTTTGCTAACACTATATGGCATTGTCTCGCCCCATGTAATGAATTCCAGAATCCGGCAAATTTTTGCGTTTGGAATCCGGAATCCTCTAAAGTTCTGCCCGAGGAACCGGAATCCTGGGTTTGGAATACCACTAAAGATGGGAATTCGGAATCCAAGTTCCACCGACATAGATCTGGAATAATTACCTGGAATCCGAAAGGAATTCCTTGCATGGAATCCAGAATCCAAGACTGTCCTGGGTTCCCTTACATGAGACGATTGGTCTTTTCATACATGACTGGTGCGATGCAAACATCTAAGCTTAAGCCCAAGCAACAAAACAGCGGTTCGCCTTCCATCGTCCCGCCAGTGACTAAACTTTGTCCTTACGAGCCTGCGTATTGCATCCGTTTTATGTTTTGTGGGCGTGCAAACATTCTTGTACTTGTGATGCTGAACTCGGGGGACTTGTATTGCAATTAAAGATCATGTTCTAGTTGGTAACAAACAATTGCCAGCTCTAAGATCTCCATGTAATGTATTTATTCAGACAACCCACAAGTGGTACAGGCAATATAAGGAAAAGGAAAGTATCCGATGACATCATAGACTCAACCGTAGCAGGTAAGTTTTGGTCACTTATAGTTTTCAGAACCAATTCAGAGTAAATACCTAGAAGACAGTTCCATCTGCCAATACACCTTGCCTTTCGAAGAAATTCGAATTTTGTCTACAAAATAAACGGGCAATGACGTTATTGCTAAGAAATCTCTGTCTCAACGTAACACTGATCGCAACAAATTTTCATCTTTATTTTACACGGCTGTCAGTGGTGGTTATAGTTTTCCCAAGTCCTCGCTAATGGCGATGTAGTTAATGTTCAAAATTCAGTTCAGGGCTTAGAAAACAAGGCATATAACAAATGTGCTGTGTTGGTAAACTTTTATTATTTAATGAAATGCAAATACCGTATTTATTCGATTAACCGCCCTGGGCGCTTATTAAATTTTTGGACCTTGAGAGTGGACGCTTATTCGAGGTTGAGCGCTGATTAAGTTTTCACCATTTTCAGCAAGTGTAGTATGTTTATTTTGCAACAAAACAGTAAATGCTAATAAAAAAAAACGCGAAGAAGTAACAAGGCAGGGTCTCTGTAAAATACTCTTAAGAAAACTCCCTCCTCGGGGAAGTCTCTTATTAGTACTTATTCAATTTCAATTTCAATCTCATTGTCACTCAATTGGGTGGGGCGGGGGTGGGCGCTTATTTGAGTTTGATTGGGGCAGGTGGGGGTGGGGGAAGGCGCTTATTAACTTTTTCTGCCTTTAGGATGGGCGCTTATTCGAAGTGGAGGCTAATTCGAGGTTGGGCGCTTATTCGAATAAATACGGTAAGCAAGAGCTGCTTTTCTGCAATACAGTAAAACTCCGCGACTAATTCTGGATTTTAAGAATCTCTTAGGCTAAACTTTGCCAGTTAGGCCCCCTCTACACAAGAACCTGTTTAGCGTAAAACTTTAAACAGGTTCTTATTTTCTAAAATCTATGAAAAATTCTGCACACTTGGGCAAATGAGATAAGTCAACATTCAAAATGTTCTTTGGAGACATAGGTGCCTTATCACTCCAACTGCAATGTAAATGCCAGCGTTTAAAATCAAATAAAATTGTTATTGATACAATTGGAAATTTACTACAGTATATAAATTATATGAGAAATAAGAACCTATATAGTCTAGAGTTGGGGCAACTACCATTTATATAAGAACCTTTTCATGCTAAATTGGAAAAATCCAGGTTCTTAGTCGCAGGGTTTTACTGTACCACAAATTAGTGCAAACTTGGGAGGTATTGCCCTTGAAAATCCAGTCACTTTTAGTTTGCTAAAGTCGGTTACCAATTTTCTTCTTTACATAGAAACAAAGTTCCGAAAAACTTCCAAAAACCCACCAAAAGTAGCTGAGGATGTTACTGTGCTTAGAAATAAGGATATTCGTGCAGAGGCCAAAAGCCTGGACCATGGCCAACTTCCAATCGATATCTTGTTATTGACTGTAAAGGACTGCGAGTTTTTAGCCTGTCTTTCTTTCATGACGAGTTTTACCAAGAGGTACGAAAATGACCTTGGTTTTGTTTACATCGGGAGTATGTGCGAGTCAAGTGTTAATATGAAAATCGCTGTCATGAAGTGCAGAATGGGTGCGGCTGTTCCTGGAGGTTCAGCAGGTGTCGTTAGGGACGCAGTCAAGGCTTTAACGCCCAAGGCGGTGTTTTGTGTGGGTTACTGTGGGGGCTTAAACCCAGCCAAAGTCAAATTAGGAGATGTTGTTATTTCCGAGAAATTAATCACATACGCTCCTTCAAAAGTCACCCAGAATGGCATCGAGGAACTTGGCGATCGCGTTCCCCCGAGCACAAAACTTGGAAAGTTAATCCTGAATGCTGCTGATGGTTGGGAGGCACCGTTGCAGGATCCAGCGGAGCTAGAAGTTGAAGTAAAGCGTGGTGCGTTACTCAGTGGACCACAGATGGTTGATAACAATGAATTGCGTAAAGCACTTATCAAGAGATTCCCAAACGGAATTGCTATCGAGATGGAAGGAGAAGGTAAAATGATTACACCTACAGTCTAACAGGCAACTGCTTTAGTTAAGTTACACTGACCGTGAGGAGACTGAGAAGGAGAAATGGAGAAGAGAAAGAGGAAGAGGTTCTTTCTCCATTCTCTCACTTGTTCTCAGGACAGTGATGCCTGCGAAGGAGGCTACTAAGTCTAATAGACAAACCATCTCTCTCCATCTTTGTATGTACAGTGGGAACCTCTATATAAAGAGCCTCTATGTAATGAAGTCCTCGGTATGACGAACGATTTTCCTTACCATAGTAATAGTAAAATATTATAAAAAAAATATACCCTCGACGGATATAACAAAACCTCGGTAGAGCAAACACATTTTGCTTGTCCCCTTGGCCCTTCGTTATATCGAGGTTTCACTGTAGTTGAAACAGTTATCCAGCAGGCTCAGAACCGGCATTACTTGCGTTTTAAGGTTTGACAAATTGTTCTAGGTGTCAAAACTTCAATGGAACAGTCTATGGAATGGGTGTTTATATTTAGAAATTTTATGGTGAAATTACTTTAAACTTCTTCAATCATTCTCTAATCTAAGAACGCGTGTGAAGATCAAATACGGAAGACAAACTCTTTTGTTTTTATTACGGTGGATTTAGATGCCGAAATCAGAACTTTCACTCAAAAATGTTTCAACTACAACTCATTATCTTCACTTTCAGGTGTTTACGGAGCAGCACATGACCTGGGTGTTGAGTGGATAATTATAAAAGGCGTGTCGGACTTCGCAGATGGCACTAAGTCCGAGACAAATTCATGGAGACCCTTCGCGAGTTTAATGGCTGCTTCCTTAGTTGCTCATATTCTCCAAAATCCAATTATTTTTGAGAATTGGGGTCATTATAATGATGGAAAATCAAGTCTTCTTTCCTCCTTAGGTGAGATAATTATGGTTCATTGTGTAGGCAACGGTTCGGTGTTTCTGGTTGTGTAGATTGAGAAGTATCATCACAAGAGTCTTTTCAAATTACAAGGCAAAACTCGTGTGAGTTTTTTGCAGCTACGTCTATTCCCTTTTTTCAAGAAAATTTGACCCCGTGCGCACAGTCCTTTAAAAACATCCTCTTGTAACCGCTAACAAGAAAAAACGAGTTAGGATCCAAGCGGATAGGTTATTATTACAAGTAAAGGGGGCCCACACAATACGTTGAGAAGTTCATAGCCGCATTTAGTTTTGTAGTAGTTAAGTATATGAAAGTTATTTTTAGTTATAGCATAACGACATAACTTGAAAGATGGATCAATGCTAGACCAAAGCTTTTGAATTTTGAAAGTAATAACGTGTGGTTTATTGCCGTCCTTGGCTCAGAAACGACATTTGAGCTTCTCTAATAAATGTCGAGTTCACTCCGAAAAACGGCGAACACAAAAATTGTTTGCTTTCTAATTCACAGTTGACACGTGAGAAAGGATGGCGTCCTGTTTCAAACCTGGCGCTAACTTCCTGATATGAGTTTTGAGTTGGTTTTGCTAACTTGCCAAAATTTCTAAACTCCAGTTCATTCAGGAAGCTACGTCCTGGATGTGTTATTGTTTTAAAACACAGGGTTTAGAAACTCGGAATTGGCTCCATACAGATTGGAGGGCGAGATTTTAATAAAAAGGCCCCCTCTTAGTCTACTAAATATGGGGTTTATTGGCACAATCGACTCTTGGGACACCTATCTGCTGGTATCTCTGTAGATTTTTCGGGGTGAACTTCGGTCGAACGCACTATTTACGTACTTAACTCTCATGCATTTAAAATTAAAAAGTTTTACACAGATTTCTTAAAGTCCTTCACTCAATAGATCGCACTGTAAACATAAAACAGAAGAACGTTTGAAAATTTTAACAATGGAACGCGAACAACAAGACAAAGTCTATTAAAAAAGAACCTCGACATGACCGCTCATGATACCGCCCTGGGTTTCAATGAATGCTACGAAGGAACACTGACTATTAGTATCTACGAAAAAAATCACGAATTTTTTTTGCCCTGATAAAGGTGAACGTGTACTACAATCCAGTCATAGGGAACCTGCGTCACAATCCAACGACAGCAAGACGCGTGTGTCTAGTGGAAAAGGTATGAGCGATGATTTTCAATATAACTTTTTGTATTAATGAAATTTTCTTTCAATCACCTCAAGTGATGATTTTAACCTGGCTCCTGCTGATAACGCAAATGTATTTTTTCACAAATACCAAGTACCATCGAAAAATTTTACAGCAAGATTGTCGCCACTAGCCCAGGGTTCCTTCAATCCCCTTTTTGAGTCCCATTAAAATATTCTCCTTAAATACCCTCATCCAGATCCCGAATATAAATACGTTTTCAAATGTGACTTAGAGCAGTTTTAAAAGAGAGGTGCAGACAAAGCTCAGAGATACAGGAACCCTGGCTCAGCATAAAAACAGATGATGTTCATACAAAACTGTGCTGACAGAAACAGCACTTAACGTTTCTTAGTTATGGTTCCCTGGAGACCATTTATAGGCCTCAGTCCTCTAATACGTACATCACAATCACGTAGTGCAGACGAGACATCTTTACTCTCTGAAGAGGACAACTTCCAGTAGAGATGGGTGGACCATTTCAACAGTGACCCAAACAGGCCCTCTTCTATTAAGTGGAAGGCTCGGGTGCCTCAAGTAGAGATTCAAACTCCTTAGCAGAGCCTCAAGTAGAATCAGAGGTTCAGAACCAGTGACAAATTCGCTTAACTCCGCAGCACGCTGCAGTGGCCATGGCGAACATTTACAGCCAGGTCAATTAACGCATTTCAAGGCCACTTAATGATCAGTTTTCGGACGACCCCGGGGGGGACTCCCACATGAAAGAGGCGGAGATGTTAGTCGGAAATTTTGAATTAAACCTCTAAAGGAGACCAATCTGGGCGTGGCCCAATCTTTTTTTGACCCCTAAAAGAGACCATTTTAAACTTTGATTACATGAATGGGGTAAATAAAAATAATTCTTCGCGTGCAACCCTAAAAGAGACCTGTACAGCCAAATACAATGGCGTTTTGCACGGAACACCCTAAGTGAGATCAAAATCCGAAATTTTCAGCACTAAGCGAGACGACGAGTATTCCCGCTCTTTTCATATGGGAGTCTTTTTGTAATGATGCCTGACACTCGACTCCCCAAACTGGGACTGTTCTAAGGCAAATTAGCGGAGGGGAAACGCTCACAGCCTTGGACAGAAGAATTGGTACGAGTACTGTCTTAAAGCTTCGCTGAAAAGCTTTGATATTGGTGTTCAAACCTCGGAGACTCTGGCATTTGACCGACCAGCCTGGCCTGAGCAAAATCCACAAAGGCACTTTCCTCTTCGAGCAGAACAGAATGGCAGAACCTCAGATGAAACAATAGCTGCGAAAGTCTAAAGTAATCTCTTTGACATCTGCCAAAGAAGTTTACCAGTATCCAGAATACGACAGAGTCTCCTACGTCCGTATCGGATGGATCAGCCACAGCCGGACACACCGCGCTAAATCCTTCAACTAGTGATGTTCTTGGTCATCGTCCACAACGGCGGACGAACACCGGCATAGAGGTTTCGCAATTCTCAACCTCCCACGGAACAGTAACAGTGTCCAGAAAAGTGTAGACAACTCGCGGTTAACTAAAAAATGATTGGTCAATGGTTAAAGAAAAAACTTTTCCTTTCTCTACCGGATCCCGCGTCGTTCCGAATCTTACTTCCCCTATATTCCCTTAGATCTCGAATTTGGTCCTTCCATATCACGCTAAATCTACATCCTTGATACCGAAAAACCTAATGAGAATCCTCATATAATTATTCTGTAGGTGTATTACCTACCAGGTTTGTTAGTAAGGGGCTGAAGGGGCGGGGAGGTGGGGCGGGGGGTTCTAAATCAACATAGAGAATGTTATGGAATCAAGAGAGAATGGAATTTATAAGTTATTATATTATACTATTATGCAATACAGTAAAACCCCGCTTGTAAACTAGTGGTTAAGATCCTGTTAGTAGAATTTGCCATTTTAATATCCCAAAATATAAGGACCTGTTTAGCCAAGCAAGATCAAACAGGTTCTTATACGTGGATTACTCTGATAATGACAAACATTTCACCTAAGAAGTTCGACTATAAACACTGAGAAGTCTTTCTTGGCATTTGTTTGTTTATTTATTTGCTCATTCCATTTCCACTCATTTTTTTATTCATTTCATTTGTGTGTTTTTTATTACTCAACTCTAGCCCTTGTTATAGAGTAGCCCGGGAGCAGACACTGTAGTGAGGGAAGGTAAAAATCGGCAAGGGCACCCGTTTCGTGCTTTTTACCCCCTCTACGAAGCCCGGTCCTAGGCTAGTTATGCGGATAACATTACATAATACATTCTGTAATCAGGTTTGCAAGGCTTACTCATAATACAGTTGTGAATAAAAGAAAATATACCACTCGTAAAATTCATAAAAACTACATCCGGGAAAGAACATTACACGGCGGCTTGAAGATATGAATTTTATTTTCTCGTGGCAAAAACAATATTTTACTCACTCGCTGCGCTCGTTCGTAAAATATTGTTTTGCCACTCGAAAATAAAATTCATATCTTCGCGCCACCGTGTAATATCCTCTATATATTTTCCAAACCCTTTGGAAGTTTATTTTTTTTCTTGTAGTCGGCAACTGTATCTACTTTAAATAAATGTAAAATTAAGAGCCCCTTTAGCGTAAAATGCCAATAATGACCCCAAAATACAGTAAACTTTTTGGCCAAATGTAGGTTCTTACGCGCCGGTTTTTACTACAAAATGCTTTCCTTTGTTTCAGTCATCAAAGATGGTGTCCCCACAAGCGATGACTTACAACATCTGTCCTTGAAGCTAGGGACATCGTGGAAGCCTTTAGCTCGGTGCCTCAAATTTGATAAAGCAAGTATTACTGTTTTTCACAAAGAGAACGAGGAATTCACAGAAAAAGCATTAAGTATGTTGCAGAAGTGGAAAGCGAAGTATGGTTCAGGAGCAACCTTCAGAGTCTTGCATGACGCCTTGTGTGATGAACGTGTATGCCAAAGGGAATTAGCAGAACAGTTTTGCTACTGTTAGTCAACATAACTCAACATATAAGTTTCCTCACTGAATCTTCTGGTAACAAGTGACATTAAAACTGGCTTACAGCTTAATTCGGGCTTGTTCAATTCATTCAATAGATTCTGGTCAGTCACGTGTAACTTAGATTGACTGGGAAAAACTGGTACATCGAGATAGCTAGAAAAAGTGTTGCTTTTCGTTTTGCTACCTCTCTGAAGCTGTAAGCTGTAAATATTTCATGAAAATTTAGTTGTTGCTAAGAGAACCCTTGTGTTTCTTTAGACTGTTTACTTACCGTGTAGAAGTATAAGCACTTGAAAGTATAGTCAAACCACATTAATAGATACTCAGTTTCAGTTTAGAGGAAATGTAAATTCTCTTGGTGTGTCGGGATTGGCTTTTTGGTGAAAAAAAATCCCCGAATTAGGCGTTGCGGATCTTTGCAACTGAAATCCGGTAGACCCTTAGTCTGCTACACAGCCGTTTTTAGTGTCGTCACGCAACGCTCCTCCCCACTAATTGCGTGACGACACTAAAAACGGCTGTGTAGCAGACCAATGGACCCTTGAAGCAATAAAGAAACCGCTTTTGTCTGCCTGCAAAAACTCGACCAATCACTGTACGTTTCTAGGCATTAGGTCAGGGTGTTTCCACCTTATTTTCCATCTAATTCAATTGTACCGAAGCCTTAAGCAATAAAGATGTTTTTTTCAGAGAGACTAGTGGTCCTGCACTGAAATAGTGGAGTTTACTCATCAAACTAACCCAAGTACCCCGCCACAGTACCCCCTAGGAATCCCGAGCTTGTAGCACCTGGAGTAGTGACAGACGTGCAAAATTGTTCTGTTTAGCTCCTGCGAGGGAGACTACAATTCCGTGTTAAAGGCCGCATTGGATATGCAGATCGACTATGCGCATACCGAACCTGGGACCAATTCCCGCCAAATCCCCGCCATTTTCTGGCTTTCTGACTGGACCTTCGGACGTTTCGTTACCATTGATCAACTGCGAAAAATTGTTGTGAAATAATTTAACAGATTCCCTCTCCCTAAACTAGACTTTTAGGAGACTTTAATACATTTGTAAAGTTTAGGGATAGGGAACCTGTTAAACCATTTCACAACAAAGTGTTTACCTCGTTTACCGCCCTCCATCTACCCTGTGTTAAATCATTTTTAGATTGTCTCCCGTCAACTGCATGGTCTGCAGGGCTAAAGGAACTGGAAAGCCAGAACGATTTAATCTGAATCCCCTGGAAATGGTAAGCTAATCGTTAATTGTCCTTTGCGCCATCGACAAAGAAAGAAGTTTTGCGGTAACGGAAAATCAAAAAAGGGAAAACAAATTTCATTTTCACTGAATTTTGCAAAAGTGAGCTAACTGTTCAAAACTCACCTGCAAAAGTTAACACTTGCCTTATAAGCTTATTTTAACCATATAAAATCTATTCACTGATCTATTAAGAATCCAACAAACAAACCAATACGTAATCAGGCAAAATAACAACAAAAACTGAAAAAGTTCTTCTGCAAAAAAGTTTTCTTTCTGATGGCTCAACTTAACTGAGTGAATCACACTGTTGGACTTCGCTTTCTCAGATGGAAACAAATTAAAGGAAAACCAACTCTAACACCAAAAAGAAACAGAAGGCTATTTTTTTATCTTCTCATTTTGATAGTGCATGCAATTTTATTCACTTGTGCATTGAGCATTTTTTTTTGGAAAAATGTCACAGGATGTAAATATTCACATTGTCTGCTTGAACTCTAGAAATCAAAAAAAGAAATGTAAAATTGTTAAGTATTAGTTGCAATACCTCTTCTCTGTTTCCATCCATTTCTTACGATTACAAGTTTCCACCAATAAAATAAAACTCTTCCACTGACTATAAAGTATTCTTGGGGGGAGGGGGGGGGGGAGGCTTTAAGGAGGATTTACAGTGACTTATTGAAAGTATATATATTGTCATTGTCCTGTAATTTGGAAGGCAGTACATTTGTTTCTAAAAGCAAAGTATTTGTTAAAGTGGATTTCTTCCTTGTCTTCTGCTTTATATAAAGAATCCAAATCCACAAGGATCATCCGTCCCTGAGCCCCAGTTATTCAAAAGATGGATAGTAGTAATAGTAGTGGCATGGATCCAGCCCTGGAGGTAGCACTCTTATGCTGGCATAAGATACTGTCTTCAAAGTGTCTATGCCTGTTAATGTTTTGAACCTTGCTCACTGCCTTGTCAATAAAGACAATCTCCCCTCACCCCTGTTACTCAAAATATCTATCCTTTTACTAAAATGTCTGCAAGCTAGGTGATCTCAAGTGACTGGGGACAAGAAAGGGAGATCCTACCCAGTTATATACAATACAGAAGGGTTAGCTGTGATTTGTCTAATTAAGTGCTATGCACCTTAATAAAAGCTGAAGAGCCTGATGGTGTGAAGTTCCAATGACAGTGTAAAAAATTTCAAGCTTTTTTATTTGTATTAGGGTTTAGAGTTCACTTCTCAATTTATGGAGTATAATTACATTGTGTATGTCAAAATAAATTAAAATTTGCTAATTTCTTTCGCATTACTAAAGGAATAATCATCCCATAGTTCTTTGGTAGGAAAATAATAATAATTTTAAAAAGATATTTTTAGAATATTTTTTCTGCCAATGTCATATCTTAATACTGCAGTGCCTTTCAGTGACCTGCATGCAAATACTGAAGTTCAAAGCACAGCTTACAGGAGATCCTACCCAGTTATATGCAATACAGAAGGGTTAACTGTGATTTGTCTAATTAAGTGCTATGCACCTAGATAAAAGCTGAAGAGCCTGATGGTGTGAAGTTCCAATGACAGTGTAAAAAATTTCAAGCTTTTTTATTTGTATTAGAGCTCAGTTCTCAACTTATGGAGTATAATTACATTGCGTATGTCAAAATAAATTAAATTTGCTAATTTCTTTCGCATTACTAAAGGAATAATCATCCCATAGTTCTTTGGTAGGAAAATAATAATAATTTTAAAAAGATATTTTTAGAATATTTTTTCTGCCAATGTCATATCTTAATACTGCAGTGCCTTTCAGTGACCTGCATGCAAATACTGAAGTTCAAAGCACAGCTTACAGGGAGATCCTACCCAGTTATATGCAATACAGAAGGGTTAACTGTGATTTGTCTAATTAAGTGCTATGCACCTAGATAAAAGCTGAAGAGCCTGATGGTGTGAAGTTCCAATGACAGTGTAAAAAATTTCAAGCTTTTATATTTGTATTAGAGCTCAGTTCTCAACTTATGGAGTATAATTACATTGCGTATGTCAAAATAAATTAAATTTGCTAATTTCTTTCGCATTAATAATAAAAAAGGGATAATCATCCCATAGTTCTTTGGTAGGAAAATAATAATAATTCGATAAAGATATATATTATTCAATATATTTATATGCCAATGTCATATCCTAATACTGCAGTGCCTTTCAGTGACCTGCATGCAAATACTGAAGTTTAAAGCACAGCTTTATGAGTTCTTATTTTATACTAATTCAGCCACTGATCACAATTATTACTATTATTGTTATTATTATCATAACTACTATGCAACAGACATGGGCGCCCCTCAAAACTGAAAACACAAAAATGATGAGAATGGATAAGATTTCCAAATCACAACAGAAAAAACTACAACTTGTCTTCTGAAAAGAAAATGGCCTTGCTTGTTTCCCCAAATGTTTAAAGCTATGAGGTGAAACAACATCTACCCTAAAATAAAAACAGGCTAAACAGTGGCATAGAAAAATCTGGGGCCTGCTAACAGTTTTGTATCCTAAACAACAACAGAATTACACTGATAGCATTTTGAATGTATTGCAGAGCTTGCAAGTTACCAAAAGAAAAGTAATAATTATGCTTGTAAAATTCATACATGTTCTTTGTAAAAATAAATTATTAATAAAATTCACTCACTAAGAACACATGTCAAATTCTCAGCCAAGGCCCCACAGTCCCTTAATATTTGCCTCTTCTTTTCAATAACCTCATTAGAAGAACATAACATGAAATAACTCAGCTCTACCCCAACTAGTGGAGTCCAATATATGAATCCAGAGAATTATGTATATCTGAGTTTGATTTAAAATTTATAAATAGAAACGTCCGAAATATGAAAACAGACAGATGAGGGTGTAAACTGATGCTCTTCTACCATTGCTAACTAGAAAAGTAACAAAATTTTAGATGAATATTGAGATGATTTAAACAAAATGTTTGTGACCAAACTAGAGCTTTTTGCCCCGACTTTAAAGATGGAAGGACCAATTAAAACAAAATCTTTTCCCTGGTATCTTTATTCATTTTTTTTTGTTTTTGAGCCTTAAAAAATGATTTTTGTTGTCTTTGTCCCACCTCTCCTATCTTAGGGTGGATATTGTCATAGTGGGTACTAGAAAGAGAGTGAAAAAACTTAGAGATCTTGCTGATACAGTCTTCAAAGATGTTGACGACAAAACTCTGGGGATGTAAATCCAGTCTCCACTGGGCACAGAGGACAAAAATAGGGGGCTTATGTAATATTATTATGGTGGAAACATCTAGATCAAAAAGGCAATAGGTTTGAGTAAAGATCTAGGAAATACAGTTGAGGCTCTCGTAAACAGACAGCTCTACTTATGGCCACCTTCACAAAACTCTGTTTTTCTCAAACTTTGTGTTTTTACATTCCTGTTAGCAGTCAGCTTCAGTAACGGATGCCTTTTTCGCATCTTGAGGGTGCCTTCTTACAAGAGCTTCCACGATACTGTAAGCATTTTCTTTTGTTCAGAAATGCAGTAATTCGCTTTCCCCAATCAGGAATGTTTTCATCATTCAATGTTTTCATCATTCAAATCCCATAAGAACTGCAAACAGACAAACAGTGATGATTTAACTACTCCCATTATCACAATTAATTAAGGTCCCCACTATGTCAAGCTCACACCAGTTGTGTTCCTTGTCAAGTTAACTAAGTTTGAGTTTACTACCCATAGTTATTGTTATCTCTTCATTAGCTTAAAGCTAAGAAGGATACTTGAACCTTCAGAAAGGCAGGTTTTAAGAAGTAGACAAAAACGATGTTATTTGCCTTGGTAGGAAAGGGGGGATACTTACACCAAGTAAACTGATACCGTAAACTGCAGCTTATAAGCCATGGGCTTATACATCTTTGTCAGGGATTTTATGAGGGTTTATAAACGCAAGGGTTTACATTCGGGTGGGCTTTTGCCAAAAATAGAAAAAGAGCTTTGAAAGAAGCTTTGGCAGTGCTGATGAACGTGTATTGGTTTTTAATTTACAGCTGCATGCCTCAAAACGTCAAAATATGTAGGTATAATAGAGTTCTAAAGAGTGCCATCATAAAAAATTAAATTTGTTAAATTGTGGGATTTGTCAGGATGTTATGAAAGAACAACAACCAAAAACTAGCATTGTGGGGCAAATTATCACTGAGATAACCTGGATAACTTGCCCTGAAATGCTAATTTTTGGCAAGTAGGCACCTTGGGAGTTGTTCTTTCAGAATATCTTGACAAATCCCATAACTTCACAAATTTAATTTTTAACGATGTCATCACTTTAGAACTCTATGCTCAAGAGGGGCTCATAACCAGGGGGAGGGGGGTGGTTATAACCAGATGCAATTTTTTTTTTTACATGTAGATGGGCCTGTAACTGGGGGAGGAAGATACTTAATTAGGTTGGTGGGGTGGGGGGGAGGTGCTGATAAGCAGCAGTTTATGGTATGTGGTATGTGTTTAACCCTATCTGGTGGCACAGAAAAAAATACCTGGGAACAGCCATTCTGGTCGGCCCTACTGCCAACTGATGCTACCAGCTAAAGATCATTTACATGACATTTTCTTAGGTATTGGCGAAATATCAGAACAAAAGCCACCAAAACAGTCCCTAAGAAAGCCAAATGCAAAACCACCATTGCCACGAATGTAATTGTTTGATGTAAACGGCAATAATTGTAAATTGGAGCCAGCTCAAGTTGCTCCACTTCCCGCAGTTTGGCATTTACGTAGTATAAATGAGAGACATTAAAATGGTGGCCCGCGGCAATAACCGAAGCCCAGAGACAGTTGTCGTGATATATCATGTTGTCATGGACATGAAATCCAGGAATTTTTACGGGGTTAACGTTACTTGCGTTCGCCAGAACTCCTAGGTAAGCATCCTCAACTGGGAAGACTTTCCTCGTTCGCATGCTCCGAAATAAAGATGGCACAATACTTGAGGATATTACGTAAAACGGTCCAGCAGAATACGGTGGAAAACGCTCTTCGGGGTAACAGTCTTTAGCAACAGCATTTGCATTTTCTTCGTCCTCGAATCTTCTAACGGGCGCTCCGTCACCATAAACACGACCGCCATAAAAATTCTCACTAGTTGATTCATTCAACCATTTCGTTAGGAGTGGTAGACGGATGTAAACATCGTCATCTGCTTTCAGGATAAACTGTGGCTTGACTTGCAAAAAGGCCCAGCGAAATCCCGAGAAAACTTTGATAATTAAATTCTCGTAGTTATCCGTAGAGTTTAACACTAAAATATCATTGTAATAAAGGGCCTCGCGTCTTGTTTCCAATTCTATTTCTGGATCATCACTTCTGCCAAGCAGAAAAACATGTTTCAACTTTTTGAAATTTAAAGTTATGTTCCTTAGCCACGTGCGACGAATGGCGTTTCTGCGATCTTTAAAGGAACGCTTACCAACCCCAGACATGATAAGAGTAAGAAGAAATACTTCCTCGCGATCGTCGAAATTCGGTTTCAAAACTGGCGAAGCAAACGAGAAATTAAACTGCGAGCAACGAGACTGAATCATTGGCAACATAACAGAATCATCATTTCTGCGAGACGCAAACTTTCTTTGTGACAAAAGGTTGTCCTTGAAATCTTTTAATTTGTCACCATGTAACAAGGGTGACTTGGAAAAGATATCCGGCTCATTTGCTGTGGACGATTTTGCGTCAAATGTCCTTCCCTGCACAAACTCGTGGTACTGCGATTCGAAATTGCTGCGAACATTCTGTTTCCGCTTATCATAAAAGTTCGCCAAAACAACAAGTTCCACTCCAATAATAGCAAGAAAGATAAACAACCCCATCCATTGCCTTTTTCCTTTCGTGAAGCAAGTTCGATTAACGATTGCTCGTAGCCGAATATTCATTCTCACACTCGTTCGATCAATGGGTTCATTGCCGTTCGATGTTGCTTATCTGACGTGAAAAGTAACACGCGTCTTCTTTCACCGTTCAAGAACATTGCTTTCCAGCGACCTTTGTCTTTGAATGTAGGTCCTTCTTCCTAAAAACATCTTTTCATTAACGAACCTCAGTTAGATTGTTACCGGGGATTGTCACCACCACCAAACAAACATGAAAGGGACATTTTAGTTTACGCACAGGTAGCCCAAGCTCGAAATATGGGGCGCTCTCCATTTAGTCAAAATTTCCGGAATTTCCGGTTCGGCGGTAAACGGAACACGTTTCGTCGGTTTGTCCCACTGGAAAATTCCCAGAAAAAGTGGAAAATCTTAAAAGGTGGTCCCGTTTTCCCGGTTGGAATTTCCGAACGGAATGTCGTGTTCCATTGACGTTTCTTGTAGTCCCAGTTCCAGGTCCACCGTCGGGCACCCGGCCACGTACCGGGGTTTACGACCAAATGGAACAACTTTTTACCAATCGGAAATTCCACTTTTGCTACCACCGAAATTTTCGGGTTTTTTTCGTAAATGGAAAGCGCCCCATGCATCGTCGAACATCGGCATTGTAATGTATTAAAGGATTTGTATGTATTGTAATGTAAGGATTTGTATGGCAGAAAAACCTATCGTTTCTGTAACCCGTTTATGGCCGTTTCATGGGTTTTAATGTGAATCTTCATATAGAGAGACGGCCATAACTCGGATGCCAATGTTCGCCAATGCTCACATTTCGAGCTTGGGCTACCTGTGCGGTAAGAACTTCTTCCCCACCCCTCTCCCACAAGAGAGTCACTTCGGGGTAGGGTGGGTATTAGAGAGAATTTTTTGTAGCCACTTTGTTGTTGTTGTTGTTTTTTTTTCACTTGATAAATAAAAAAAATAAGATAAATTACTAGCGCGGAAATCTTAAACTCGCTATGATAGCCTGCGAATGCGAAAAAAAAAAGGCAGAACCGCTTGTGGAATTTCAAAACACAAGGATACTATTACCCCCCTGAAAACATAAGGTAGCCTTCTTGAGTCCGGGTCTTGAGTTCAGTTGGGATATATAAGAAACGCCTTTTAATTGCTGCATTTGTGTGTTTTGTGTACCTGTATCATTTTGGATTGATCTGTGCTTGTCGTGCGATCCTTTGATATTGCAAATTTTTCATTGGAAATCGATACCCTTGAGATCCCTCAAGGTTTTTAGAAAGGAGACAGTACGTGAGGTTTTACACGACCTGATTTGATCGATGAAAAGGCTTGGTTCCATGGACACAAGATGGCGGACGGTTCCGTTCTTCGTGTCGTTGAATTTTACAGCGGAGTTGGTGGAATGCATTTCGCTTTGAAGGGTAAAGGTGAAAGTTTATCGTGCTATTTATTTAACTGGTAATCCTGGTGAGCTACACATTGATCATTTACATGTTCTATCGTCGCTATTGTTACTGTACGTTAATATTGATCAAGATTATTAAACTTGAACATGCCAACAACAGAATACTTTAGAGGGCCATACATGTTTTGTACGGACGTAAAGATGCACAAGTGGCGTACTAGTCATGATGACTGTTTACAGAACGAGAAACACAAATTAAAGTTTTGACTTAAAGTGTCAGACAGAAAGCAATGTATATGTTAATTTGTGGTTCAATTCTATCCTTGGCTTAAATTTTTAGCTATAAAAAATTGCATAAGAACTTTTCTTAAAAGCATTTTAAGAAATTTAAAAAAATAAAGTTGAAAAATATACCACGTTTGAACGTTCTTGGACGTCATTATCAAGTTAAAAAAAAATACAGTGTGGATACAAGAAAAACAATAGTTCATTAAAAAGAAATGTAACATAAGAATATGTTGTACAAGTTAAAGAAAGTGTTTAACACTAATGGATTCTCTCTGAGTATTAAGGCTAGGCCTAAAGTTCTTTGATGAATAACATTTTTATTTTCTGTGGCATTTCTTAAGAATGCAAAACTGACTCTCATTAAGAAGATTTTTGTCACCATGAGCTTCTGAAAATTGTTTACCGATAGCTTAATATGTGTGTTCAGCAATGCATGGATGAAGATGTCGGGCTATATGTAGCCAACAAAAACCACATCACACAGATCACATGCAAATTTATAAATAATGCAATGCTGACTCACAATACTCTACTTATCGCCATGCTCCAATTTTCTGCCCACAAAAACACTGGTAGACTGTTAAGTGCCAGCAATGTTGTTGCTGAGATCATGCAATAATTATTGCCTATGGACTGCATTAGCAGCTATAATTATTATGATCTTTGACGGGAAGATCTATTCTAATTGTGTTGCCGTCATCGGTTTATTTTCTTTTGATTTGTGTCTGGGTATGGTAATGTATGATAATGACCTTTTAACAGAAGGAAATAAAATTTAATCCAAGGATAAAACCACAACCCATTATTTTAGGTATAAGTTTTAATAAACAAGTGGAGGCACATGCACATTTTAGTGGCCAATGATGGTGCGATTGTCTATCCAGTGATGATATCAATGATGGTGCAATTGTCTATCCAGTAGAGTCTAAAAGAACATGAAAGCTACATTACATATAAGATATGTTTTTATAATAGTAGCTCGGCGGTTCGGTGGCTCTTCAGTCGGGACTGGCAATCTGCCAATCCACTTGAGTGATAATTTCATTTTTATTTCACTGGTGCACAAACCATCTAGCCACTCGAAAGAATAATACAGTTATGTAGTTCTTTGAAATGTTGCCCTGTATGATTCTGTAGTTGATTGTATGACAGACTACAGGACAATGTGACTGCATTAACTGAAAAAACATCATTTACTAGATCACTCTGGGACCACGGGAGCAGTTGACTGACATCGGCTTTAGGTGGCCTCTTATTCTGAAGTAATATTGTTCCAAAAAGAAGCCAACTTTAAATCTTTGTACAGTTTAATGACTGCTCCTGCAGTCTTGCAGTCCTCAGGGGCACCCAACATCAATTTTCGGAAAATATCTGTTCATAAAGACGATTTGAGATCTGTTGTAAAATTTCTTGCTTGCTTGCCTATCCTAGGATTTTGGAAAATCTAAAAATGGAATAATTGCCCATTTTTAACGGATTTTTACCCTAAAAACCTCACCTAGAATTTTCGGGAGCGTTTTTTTTGGCTGATATTTTAGAAAAGGTAAGTTTTGATCCCTATAATTTTTGGATCACTAGACTTTCAGCTTGGCAATCCGAACAGATGAAAAATTTTTAGGGGATAAAAATATGTCCATATCTATCATAAATACTAAAATACGTTTAACAATGCTATGTGTAAGTAGTTTTGAACTATATTATTTTTGGGTGCCCCTGAGTCCTGTAGCCCTGTAATCGATGTGGCTAAATTCAATTTAGGCAAAGTTAACCTCGAAGCAATGCTGGTCACCAGTTTTTCCAGTTATACTTGGGGTGGCCTGATACCTCTGGCAGGGGCACCTCGTGACTTATATACGCAGTTGCTTGCTTGCAGTTCTTTGCAAAGTATTGTTGCAATAACAAAAAGGCACTTTTTGAGGCACTTTTAAAGAGGAAAGCCATGAAAAGTTTTGCCACGTGTATCCTGAGCTTATAATAATATTTATAACCTGAGTTCCCTTGCAAGTTTGAGCTAAGACTCACATGATTATGATTTGTTTCTCATTTTTTTACTGCTGAGTGGCTACTAGGGTCTTTAATTTATTAAAATAATGTAAATTGAGAAATTTTGGACTCTGAAGTTGGTCAACTATTTGGGCAAACTAATAGAAGGTGAAATTGTTATGGGATGACCTCTGAAAGGTTATCTTAACATCATTGTCAATGAATATGACAATTGTTATTCAGAATATGGGTACTGGCTGGCACTGCATGCTAGTGCCAATCTCATTGCTCTGTCATTGCTACTTGTTGTACATCTTTAATCACCATAAAAATAAATTGCTATTACCATTGTCACTGCCATGCTACTATAATAAAATATTTGCCACTTCTGTTATAACCATATTACCAGTCCTGCCATTACCATAACCACGTGGATTACAGTAGTCACATTATTGTAGCAATTGTATGACTTACATGTATTCATTTCAATTATGCAGGTTGCAGTTTCCCTAGTGAAGTAGTAGCAGCTATGGAAATCAACACCACAGCGAACCAAGTGTACCACCTTAATTTCAGTGACACAAACTTGCTTCAAAAAAATATTGAGGTGAGTGGACTTAAATTTTATTAACTCAGTCTGTTTAGTTCAAAATGTCTGATTTTACAAGGGAAAGAACCTGGATTGGGAATGCAATTTTGATCTTGACCCTTTCAGAATGCCTTCAAAATGTCTCAATATTGGAGATTACTTATAATGGATGTTTTTGTGTTTAAGTCAGAGTAGGTTATTTTGCCTTTATTTGACTAAAAATGCTTGCAAGGGGTGGTATACCTACTGTATCTTCATTGCATGTAACTGTGATATAAAATACGATTTCCACTGCACTGCACTGCACCCTATAATTTGACTAAAATTATCTTCAATCTTTCTCAAATTGTGTACAGAACATTGTGTTACAGATTACTTTTTATAATAAAGTAACAGTTTAATGCTGCAAAACTTTTGGCTAAGAGGTGTATTAAATTTAAAATGTGTTTTAGGGTTTGACAGCTCAAGAGATTGATAAACTATCAGCCAATGTGTTTCTTATGTCACCTCCATGTCAGCCTTTTACAAGGTAGATATCTTTAGTGGCTGCCCCTTATGTTCCTGGGAGTTGCGCATGTATGTTGACTTTTTCAACAGACTATTATGCAGAGATTTTAGGACTTTTCACACTCCAATAATAATAATTGTACTTCTATTACCTAGAACTGCAAACTAGCATACATGAATATTGAAATTTGAGACATCGACTAGGTGCTTGAACAATATTATAACTAAATGTATAATCAATACCTGCCTTTTGAAATGGAGAACACCAAAAACTTCTCGTAGTATTTTTTAATAAACAAAAATAGACTGTACAACAAAATGAATGTAATCAGCCTTTCATGCAGTTATAGGCCATCTGAGGGGTAAGATGTATATGTATGTCATCTGTTAGGTCAGGAAGCCGTCTTTGTTTGGTCATTGACCCAAGACCTGTCTCTTACCTGGAACACTGTGTAATTTTAGCAAAACAGCTGTATTTAATTTTTACCATTAATTTATTCACATGGAGCTGTATTTTACTCCTCTTTAGTGTATATATAATTTATTGAGGTAGCATGGTTTACATTGTATTTCCTTATTGAAAAATGATGTCAAGATGTCATTGAAAATGCTCCGTAATTTGTCGATTTTAGGCTTTTAACTGGCTTGGTTATCAGTGATGTCATTGAAAATGCTCTGTGATTTTGTCCATTTTGGTTTTGAAAATAATTTTGTTTGATCATCATAATCGTTATTATGTTGGTTTTTAACAGGGTTGGTCATCAAGGTGCATCAAAAGATCCCAGAACGAAAAGCTTTCTTCACATTCTTGAGCTTTTACCTAAGTAGGTCAAGAATGCTTTTGTGATATCCTTGATGTACATGACTGTATTATGTTGTGTTTTAATTTTATTACTGGTCTAGTTTTAATGTTCTTGTGTTTTTTTTGTTGTATGTGTGGTAATGCATGTCAATGACTGCAGTTTAACAAATAAAAAAGGAAAGGAAAAAAAAGGAGAAAAAGAGAAAAAAAAACAAATAAAAAGAGCATGGCAGTGAAGCATACTGTATAATTTTTTATAACATAGCACGCGTGCTTGCCCTATATAAGTCCTATTGAGCCGCTATGAACAAAATCTTTATTTACGCCCGCCCATGCGTAAATAAGATGACCTGTTCAGCTGTGTTTTTCGTCCCTTTTCCCAAGTACCCAAAAATCGACAGCAATGATAAAAAACTTTCTAGACTTTTTTTGGAATTGAGCTTCGTTCTAGCCACTCAAAGCAACAGCAAAAGCGGTGACATGTTTCGCAAATAATAGAGCCTGCATGATTCGTTGAAACTTGAAAGTCTGCCGTAAAGACTGACAGTTACTTGGGAAAAGACCACAAATTGGTCTGTGTCGGAAAATATCCAATTTGTACAAAGTGTCCTCTGTTTTTAACGTTTGTTTTATATCCTACAAAACAAGTTAATTAAAAAGTAAGCTCAACAGCAAAAACTTATACACTTTTTGTTATCGCCGAACAATCCGACTGAAGCAGGAAAATTTCTCTTGCAATAACAAGACAAATTACACAAGGAGACATGAATTTATTACTCACAAAAACAACTGCTGCTGGGTCTTCTCAAGAAGCCGTAATGACCAGCCATTGTTCGTAAATGAATGTAAGGTTAACGTAGGATGACAGTCGTCTTCGCTGAAAAACAAGTTTTCTGGATTTCGCCGAGCAAACATAAACATCTTTCAAGCAAATCCAAACCATACTCCACGACTTCTTACGAACATGTGAGTAATTTCACTTCAGGCGGACTAATGAAGACTCTTTTTTCTTTGTTTCTTTTTAGTTTTCATGATAGTTAATGAATAAATAAGCAAATTTTCTTTCTCAGTTTTACAGAAAGAATTTTCATTCAAACTAAACCATTGTGGCGTGTTTGTAATCAGCCAATAGAGGCGTTTCTTATTTTGTCGCTCGTTACGAGAATTTTGTAGTTAATCAAAAAGCAAGCATTTTTGACAGCTATGTTATAAAAGAATTTGCTCAGGCTTTTAGCTGTGCGTATATCGAGTTATGGATGCACTTGGGAAGTTTGGAGAGCACTCAAGGAGCATCTTTTGTGCTCTCCAAACTTCCCGCATGTATCCATAACTCGATATACGCACGCTAAGCATGAACAAATTCTTAAATTTTCATATGATTGATTGTTTCAAACAAATGGCAGTTTACAGTGTATTTTGATCTTGTTATATTTAGTGTCATTTTTGAAAAAAAAAGTCAATTTAAACTATGATGTGCATTAGTTTTACCCCCTATTTTTGTTTATAAATTTTATATACAGTTCTATAATTTGCAAACTTGTTTTAGATTGGCTAAACCTCCTGATTATATCTTGATGGAGAACGTCAAAGGATTTGAGTCATCAGGTACAAGGTACACTGTACACCACAAAATTTACTGTTGATTATTTAGTAGTTGATTACATGTTACAAACAAATACAGTCAAACCCTGTTAATACAGACACTGAGGGGGCCATGGAAAGTATCCGTATTAAGCCGGTTGAATTTAACTCTTTAAGCCGCAATATCCACATACAAATTCTCCAAACTGGTCTCTATACATTTCCTTTAAGAATTATTTGAGAGAATTTGATAAAAGATCAAGGTATTTTCTCTTTGGTGATCATTTTATTAACTCTCATAACCTTGTCTCTTGCCAACAATGTATGGATATCTTTAGGAGAAAATTGATGTTGATCACTATTGGGACTTAAAGGGTTAAAGAAAATCTAAGGGCTTTCTTTTCCTGGGGACAAAGCAAACTTATGGTCCATAATAATGAGGTGTTCATGTTAAGCTTGTGCCCGTAAAGTGGGCTTTGACTGCTCTTCCATGTAGACTTAATATTAATTCAATTTAATACTAATTAAATGGTTTTTAATTACTTAGGGAACATTTTGTAGGAACACTGAAGTCTTGTGGATACCATTATCAGGTGATCAGTTGAATAATTATTAACATACTACGTTTTGTATTGGTGACGAGAAGCCTTCACATGATTGGGAGTTTTTTGGTTGTTTACAGCCTTAATTTAAAAATATGAAGGTCCTTGATCTGGTTATAAAAATTTTAATATCTATTTTTGTTTCTTTTTTTGCAGGAATTCTTGTTATCTCCAATTCAGGTGTAGAACTTGGTGAACATATACTAGCTAGATCAACAAAAATATAATAATTTATAAGTAGTGATAACCGTTGCATTCTGCTTTGGATATCCTCTGAACTCATAAGATTCCCATTGCAATCAATGGTTTGTTTGTTTATTTTTTCATACTACATGTATGCAAAAGCCAAAATGAAACTACAATATGACTTAAAATTTATATCAAGACCAGTTACAACTGTAGGCGAACTTTAAGGGTGTTTAAAAATACTTTGAACGATGGGTCTCGAGGGAGAGATTTATTTTTCTTAAAGTTTCCTGACACTAAGCAGGTTAAGGGGAGCATTCATGACATGATTTGTTACATAGACCACTAAGAATTTTAAGCTTTTATATGTACAAATTTGTGAAAGTGAATCTCTGCAAGCTGTCAACATTTCCAAGTAACATTGCTCTGTTACCCACTGGCATCATATGGTGTAGATTTTGAAGTTACTCACTCAGGAATTAAACTTTTTGTGGGAAACGGTTCTATTGTGACATGTCATTTAGCCTAAGTTTAGTTACCGATGGGAGCGCACACTGTTTTGAAGAAGAAGAAGTGCCTTTATTTACCATACTTTCATACAGGTGACCTATTACATTATTACAAGGCAGGAGATCAAGCATGTTTTGCTGAGCTTTTAGACAATCTCCGCTTTATTCTAAATAGATGTAAAGAATATCAGAAGGCGGACTTCCTGTTTTTACAGATTCTATTGGTTGGTTGTAAAAATTGATGGTCAGTTGTAATTACCAAGTACAGCAGCTATAGCTGTGATATGTGTGTGTATGTAGTGTATTTAATATCTTGACTGTTCTTTTTAGTTTGGAATCCCGAACTCTCGATTGAGGTACTATCTTTTGGCCAAAAAGAAGCCACTCCAATTTTTCTTCTCAACCCGTGATGAGGTATTTATGCCCATAATAATCTTGTACATCCTGAAGGGGAATATCAAATCCCAGGAACCAACTACAACAATCCTATAATTTACAATATTATCAAATGGTACAACTATTGAACATTATGATGTGAATTGCAGAAATACAAATTTAAGTGATGATGTGATTGTTGCAGTTGTAATAGCAATTTAATCAATTTCAAATTAACCTGGAAAAAAAATCTTTCATTCCTTTCACGAGTTAAGACAACTCGAAAATAGGCCACTTCCGAGTTCCAAAAACCCTCGCTTTCAAAATGAGGCTAGGTGCACAACCTTTTTTGTGAAAATGAGTTTTATTTGCATGAGAATGAAAAATCATTTCCATATCAAAGGCTGAGCACCTACCCTCGTTTAGAAACAGAGGCCGGGGGGCAACTCGGAAATGGTCCATTGACCCGCTCACAATGTGTGTGGGTCTTCATAGCTCAGTTGGTAGAGCACTGCAGCGATATCGCAGAAGCCATGTCTTTGAATGCAGTTGACCCCCGGTTTTTTTTTTCCGTTTAATTTCCTAAACGCAACTGAAGCAATTTTTATATCTTTGTTTAAACTAACTATCATAGTGTCTTTCTCGGAATGTGCGCCCCCATAGGGCTCTGTCCACACTTCAGAAGTCTTAAGTTTTGCAAAGCTTTTTTGTTTGCTTCAGAAATTGGCGCTGCAAATCTCGTAGCGTAATTATACGGCACCAAAGAAATCTCGATCTTACGATGTTCAATTGAAAATTGTTCTGACATTATATGAGATATTTCTGTGTTAAGTTAGAGCTTCTGATCGCGCTATGGGACGATATATATTATTTTCTTTTTTTAAAAATCACATTCAGTAAGTACATATTATGTTACGATGCCAAGCAGACAGATCTTTGACATAAAATCCTATTAATTTTTTATAATTACCGTATTTACTCGAGTAAGCGCTGCGGTGCTTTTTAAACTTTTTACGACTAAATACGGTATAGTAAGGGCCTGTTTACATGGAGGTGGGGGACCCCATGTAGCTGAGGAAGCCCGCATGGGTGGGGTAACCCGCCTGTCCATATAATCTCTCATTTTAATCTGATCACGTTTACATGATGGGTAGGGTCACCCCCTAAATGTTACCTCACCTATCTGAGGTCCCCCAACTCCATGTAAACAGGCCGTAAGATACAATTCTTAACTTTCACTTCATGCATATTCTTTTCCATGATTCCAGATTATGGAGACCCTACCCTCATATACAACACACAGCTGTATGACCTTGGATCAAAATTTTCAAAGTGACAACGAAAGGCCCGTTGGATCACTAGCGATGGCAAGTGAACCTAGCGCAGTTAGCAACAAACAGGGAACAACGCAAGAAAGCGTTATGAACAGTACTGACCGAAAAGACAACTCTGTATGCGTTAAGTGTCTCCAAGCTAGAAGTGAAGGAAATTTATGTGCAGACGACGCTGTGTGTGATTCCACAGAAAGTTTTAAGCCTTTGACCTGTCGAAGAATTGACAATTTCCTCGAAAAAAACAAAGATTATAATTACTATGAAGAGTTTATGTTACCGGATAAAGTTTTGAGCAAATTTGCTCTTGTTTTAGGTAAGTACGTTTTGTTGTCGATGGTCAGTGGCGGCGATGCCTTTTACCTTTTCTTTTTCAAATAGGCGATTCCATGTCTAATACTCAATACCATCATTGTCAAGCCTTTTTTAAGGTCATGTTACACGCGACGATTTGGAACGACGATTTTTAGCGAAAACACAGCCTTGCAATGTTGAAACAATATTGCAACCATTGGAAACAATGCCGCAATAATGTTGCAACGCTGTGTTGCGCGCGTTAAAAATCGTTTGTGTGAATTGTGGCGCGTAACATTAGGCAAAAATACATTATTTTTGAAATAGTCGTTTAAGAACGGAAAATGGCCACCTGTTAAGATGTATCATTTATTAGAGGCTGTTAATCTTAATAAGTACTTGAATTCTTCGGAATTTAGGCGGGTCGGCGTGGTTTTGCTGTGGTAAGGGAAGGAGTTCAGCATACATGTATCTTGCCCCTGGGTTTAATTCTGGGTTGTGAAGTCCCTGTCTTTATTAGAAGCACTTTCAATAACAGTTTGAAAATTTTTCCTAAGTGTCTTGTGAATGGCATCGTTTGTTTTCAAAAGGAAAAATTGCGGAAACAAGAAGCGATAAGAGATGGCTGTGTTGGGAGGATGTTTTTTACGTGTATGGGACCATTGATTAACGTGCAAGACTGACTAATGTGGGTCTGTTGTGCACACAGGATTGAGACAATGTTTAACGAACACCGTTATTGATTTCAATTTTGCCAGCCCTTACATGTATATCTTACTACATTTAACACCTAATTCACAAAGTATATCCCTGCTGCCCCGAGTTAAAATAAATGCCTAGATGTTTACGACCTGTGGCCTCATTCCTCCGTTTTATTGGAGCGCAGGTAGGCCTAGTCCAAAGGTCGTGAGTTGAAACCTCGCTGGGTCAAAAAACACTTTCTTTGATGCCTAGAAAGTACTGTTCGGAAGGATTGATAGAGTTTTTCACTTCTTAGCACTCGCAATGTTAACACAAGTTCATTTTCATCGTAACATGCGTGAATCCAAGTATTAATTTTTATAATAATCGAAATTGGTCGCCATGATCCAATGCAAAAATGGCTGCTGGATTAATATTGTCTTGTTTAAATGAAAATTAACCTGACTAGCCTCGTTAGAGATAATGTAAACTCTTGTGAATTCTGTATTGGAGAACGAGGCTAGTCAGGCAAATTTAAATTTAAAAAAGAATATTAATTCAGCAGCTATTTTTTCATTGGGTCTATACTAAGCTCTTTATGAAAAATGGATAATTTTGCTTTGTCCACCTCAGATATTGTGACACATCAATCCGATCGTTCCTGTTGCTTTACAAAAGCGTAAGTATTCCTCGCTTGAAAGTACCGCATAACAATTGACTTTTTTTATTGTACTAGTCTCATTTTAGATCTTTTAGAGATTAGAAAATTTGTTGTTTGATTGTTAAGCCGTTATAAGGCAGAGGCGGCGGAACGTTTTGTAACTTGGGGGAGGTGTGGGAGGCGCATCTTCCACTCAGCCACGCGCATACCCCTACTCAAATTCTCCAAAATGCCCTTCGCGTTGTTCGTTGGCGCAAGCAAACTTCTTTGCAATCTTCACAGTGTCTAGTGTGGCCGTATTTCGATTTGTCACAATGCATCAGTAGACAGTTTTTAGGCGGTCCTGATTCATGGTGCTTCTTAGGCCCCGTCCACACGTATCCGGAGATTTTTGTATCCGCAAATTTTTTAATGCGGATACACCTAGCGTCCACACGTGTCCGCCGTATACGCTCGGTGTATCCGGAGATTTCTGTATACGCTCTCCAGAGTGGAAATTTCTGTATTCGCTCTGTATCCGGATACGTGTGGACGCTCGTAGCCGTAGATTTTTTTATACGCTGACGTCACAGTATCAGAACCAGTCTTTTTCCGCGCGAGATTTTCCATGCTCTGTTGACTAATCCTTTGAGATGTCCGGATACGAATCGGATACGTGTGGACGGTCATATACGATTCGTATACGCTACATGTGGACGCAGATTTTTTTGTATCCGCATAAAAAAATTTGCGGATACAAAAATCTCCGGATATGTGTGGACGGGGCCTTAGATAGTTCGCAAGTCGTCTGAGAGCAGAAAATGTGAATGTGTGCTTTGAAGTCGGCCATGTCACAGGTAATGTCAAATACATCCGTAAAAGTGTCTTCCAGCACCAAAACGTGGAAGGGGGGGTTCTTCCCCCCAATATTTGTTATTTGTTTTTTTTGGGGGGAGGGGGGTGGGGGCTACGGACCCTCCTGCTCCCCCTGCTCCGCCGCCTATATAAGGGGTGTTTTGAGATTAGAATTTTGTGTAAGTTCTTATATTTAGAGCTAGGAACAGTGCAAAAATTTCTTGCACTGTGCATACTGCAATTCAGTTTCATTTCCGTGCCATTGTCCATTGGAGTATACTCTAGTGCAATCTGTTATGATCATTGGAAGACAAAGCCCTGGGCGAGCCTGTTGTAATACTTTATAAATAGCTTCATGGAGGCGTTTTGTCTCTCGAAAAAATTTAACGTGGAAATGAAATTAGTTTTATGGTTTTAGACAACTGCGCCTTGCTATTGGCTAAATGAATCATGCGCGATTTTCTCGACGAATCAGAATAAAACTAAGTAGTCGATCGTGACTGGGTTGTTCTTGTTTTACAGCGATTGATGCTGACTGCAATGACTGCATGTAATTGCTTTGAGATCTGATTGGTTCATTGGATTGTTGCTATAGGATTAGAAATTTTATTATTAACTATAATTCAGTTATACTACTGTTAATTCCTCTCCCCTTGTGGCTGTCCCTTTTTTTTATTAAAACAAAATTAAAACAGTATTAGGGGCTAACTCGGTAACCTTCCACCTTTTTTTTTTTTTGCTTCCGCTTTAACTTTCGCGCAATAACTCGATTGGAAACGCTTGCTACGCAGGCTAACCTCACGGTTCCTTTAGCCTCCAGGCTCCAAATACTGATTAATTATTATTCTTAGTTATCGCATTGTAAATTTGTAATGTATAGAACTTTTTTCTTGTGATAATTCAAAGTGTGTGAGTCAATAGAGCAATTTTCAATTTAGTGTTGAAAGTAATCCGGGATTGCATTGGTTTTGCTTTACTGTGCTCTGTGAGTGGTCTAGAAAACTCGCGCCACCTTCTAAGCCAATCAGATACAAAATAAAAAAGATTGTTGGTGTTTGCGTTTTTTTTTAGTTCCCTGATATTTTCGTTTTTTGATGAGCATGCGACACTCCGAAAAGCGCTCTAAAAGATTGTTGGTGTTGTTTTTGTTTAGTGCCCTTTTCTTTTGTGAGCATGCGTGACCCGGCTCTTTCTAAGGCATCTGAATAGAATTTTTTTCAGAATTTTCTTCTGGTTGTTTAGTGTTCAGTCTTAAAGATAACCCTGCAAAGGATCCCGCTTAGGTTGTTAATTCAACTTCGAGGAGCATTTCCACGTTCATATCTTTTCCGCAGTTGATAATATGAGTCATTTCATATCTAACCATTCAGTACTAAGTTCCTTGTTCTACTTTGCAACTCATACTCTGGTACATCCATCTCTTCACAGGTATGGTCATTACGCTGAAGGAACAGGCTCAGTTCTCAAAATGGCAGATATCGATGTAAGATTCCGATGGCTTTTAATAAAACGGTACCGATATCACATTTACAAGGGAAATTTCGCTGTTTTGGTAACACCCTTTTAGTTATCTCAAGTAATAGCTTGACATTCCTCTAGCCTCCTGTATTCCTCTATAAATTATGTTCAAGTAAGCAGTCCCAACTAAGAATGGCAGGGAATGGAGAGAAGGACAATTGCAATGGAAGATAAGTACATTTATAAGGAAGTTGGCATACGTAAAGAAACAAAAAGTGAACCTTTTTTGTTGGTTGTCCCAGGGTGAAACATAAATATCTGCTTTTTTCTTCTTTTAGAAAAATGTGAAATTTATTATGTCTCCTAATGTCCGTCGTTCGAGCTGGAACCACTGAGTTATGGAAAGACTCACACTAAGCAAGACCATTTACAGTTTCATATGTAGTGCATACGTTCTGCCTCCTGCTAGGATTAATTTCGGCAACGTCTTTTGCTTGAAAATTAATACTGACATGATCTCCTATATATTCTTCTTCCTATTTTGAACCTATGGTTTCAAGTAAAAAGTTTTACCTAATTATCTTCTACTTCATTTTGTTGATCTGCAGTTACTATTTTGCTTGTGTTAGTTTGCCAGATTAAGTGGTTTGCTATTGCCTTCTTAGGACACAGAGATCTTTAACAGATACAGAGATCTTAAGGATGGGGAACAGAAATCTAAATTGCTGACTGCGTTGAAGCTAAGGTACTTTACTCCGCGCGAGGTGGCCAATCTTCACGGATTTCCTGCTGAATTTTGTAAGTTTAAACTTCCTTAGCCCGTTCACACCTAAACCGCGCCTGTAATCCGTCGCCAGTGTGGATCCACATCTCTTGTATCGCGTATGGCGTCGTCAACTTAAATGATGATAGACAAATTTTACGCGTGACCTCTGTAGGTGGGCGATATCTTTAGAACCATACTCAGCAAACAGTTTCAATGCCTAAATATTGCCTTAAATAACAAAACTGGACCATTATTTTGGGAATTCATTTGATGCGAAAATATTTTAGCTTTTTTGAAAGATAGCAAAGAGCGTGACGTGGCCCCTTCAAAGTGATGATGTCTTGCATAGAAGTTTGGCCTGAATTTGGTCCAAAATCTAATACATATGTTTTTTTCGATCCAGGCTTCCCTCCATCAGTGACCGTCAAACAACAGTATCGCCTGCTGGGAAACAGTTTAAATGTTCACGTGGTGTCTGAGCTCCTTCGCTGTCTGTTCCAGGTCCCCGTATGTAATGTGAACAGTAGTGACCATTGACCTCTGAACTCAGCCTAGTCCCTAGGCGTTCTCTCTTGACCCGTTGTCCGCGCGAAGTCTCACGGTAGAGTCCAAGATTGACCGCGCCGAGAACGCCTAGGGACTAGGCTGCTTTGAATTCATAAACGTTGTCAACGGTTAGATTATTAAACCCGTGAACGGCCCTGTCTCACCAGATTGCCTTTTAGAATGTGGACAATACTACTAGTGGTTAATTGTAAGTGCTGGGAAAATGCTGGAAACCGTTTTGAGTCAACTTAAAGGGACTATGCTATGGTGAGTTCAGCTTTTCTTGATCGAAGCTGAGCTTAAGCTAAGTATTGTAAATCATGTTTTTTTCATACATGGAACTGTAAAAGCCGAGGAAGATACTAAATGATTCCATCAAAGGGAAAGCAAAGTATGATCGCTCTTTTGTTATTATTTTTTCGTCAACGCAGGTGTTTAGCTTGAAAACGTTGGCCCAATTTTTAAAGTTGCAATCCCTTTTCATCATGGCCATCGAAAGCCACAGACCCTTACTAACTAATAATAATAATAATGTTTATTTCTTATATTGCGCAGTCTAGCATGCGATAAAGATATGATCGAATGCGCATTACAACACTAAAATCTTAAAGTAATAAATGGCTAATCAAAATAATGATAATAATAGTTTTAATTTACAATTTTCGGAAAACAATAAAAGTAAAATATGAGTTAATAAAAGAACTAATAAAAAGCTAATTTAAAAGATGTGCCTTTAGTAAAAATGTTCAATGATTGACATTGTCTAATTTCTAGAGGGAGTCGGTTCCATACTTTGGGCGCAGCATTTTCAAACGCCCTATCCCCGAGTGTCTTTTTTGTTCTATAGGTATTGTCCATTAGGAGTATGCCCCGGTATGATCTCAACTGATACCGCGAGCTCTCTTTGATTTTTATCAAGTCTAAAAGATATTGTGGTGCGACGCCGTAGATACATTTGTGAACTAGCATTGCTATCTTGAATTCTATTCTGTGGGTAACCGGAAGCCAGTGCAGGTTGATCAGGGATGGTGTGATAGGATCATACCTAGATACAGTACATACCAGCCGAGCTGCCGCGTTCTGCAGGCGTTGCAGCTTACCAAGATGAACAGCGGTCGTACCATATAATAGACCGTTACTAATGCCTGAAGTGTAGTACTGAAGAAAAATAATTTAAAATAAAATTGAACCATAACTTCAGGGTTTTCTTTGATTCCAGTGCGTTTTAGAGTTGTAAAGTAACACCAAAAAATCGTGACATAACTTCTTTAAGGGCTACCGAGTTTCAAGGAGAATGGACTGTTTGCAGTGTCGTTGAAGATTGGCGTTAGGCACTAGAGCTCGCTCGTTTAACTATAGTAAACTACTAAGCTAAGTTACAGGAAAAGTAAACTACTGGTATTAGGACCAATTCCAGTTTGGTCTGTCATCGTACAAGTGACGAGATCGAATTGGAACCCACTCAGTCCAATTACCATTACAAATCAGGGCTACCGATAGCTATGGTTAAACGTGCTTAGGAAAAGGTATTCATATGCATGGCTTCCTGACGTAAAGGTCGAGATAAATTAGGAAATAACAAGAACACGCTTACAGCGGCATTCAGGTCTCGCCTGCTTGGAGATTAGATCAAGAAATGAGGAGGCGATTAATTCTAAAAGAAACAATCATGATTTACTCGCTTAAGGTTTTTTACTTCCTGCTTTATCGACGTCGATACTTTTTAGTTGTTTCTGAATTGATTTAGTACGCGTGTTAGCGACGACCAAAAATACCTCTGCGGTAGCAGCCTATACGCGTGTATAAATACACGAAAATTCAAGACTCATTTTCATACAGTGATAGTGTACAACACCCGACCATCGCAATTTTGCTAATTAAGATTCTTTTTTTTTCGACCACTCAGTAGTGTTCACTTGCTCCAAAGTAATCAACGCTTTCAAGCGATAGAATTCGTGGACCAGCACGTTTCGGAAAAGCTCTAAATTTAATCTTTCCTACGTTTTCTTCGCAAAACATGCGTGGCTTGGATCACGCAAAGATTCTTAGTCTCAGTTTCCGCGGTCTCCGCAAGGAACGCCTGGCACAATGACCTACCTTTTGTGTCCCAGAAATTCTGGGGGGATACTTCCAGAAAAATTGGGAGGGGGTGTGCGGCACGCTTCTTGAAACCCTTACCCTATTTCAGACTGTGATTTTCCCTACCGTATTTCAGACCTGATCAAAAATTTGACACCCTATTTCAGACCTGAAGCCCTGGAGCCCCGCGAGTGACCGGAGCGCGTGACAAGCTGTTACGGCACGTACACGGTAGTTGGCATAAACATTAAAAGGGAAATGGTCCTATTTCCAAATGATGAAGAAGTAGCTAATTCTTCTAAAAAGCATACCCAAATCAAGACTAGAGTGCACAAACCATACCCTATTTCAGACCAAAATGGTCGAAATTGATACCCTATTTCAGACCAAAACAGCTAAAAAAATATACCCTTTGGCGCGGCACATACCTATATAGCCTAAATAAGGGACTAACCCCCGGGGCGAAAAACGCGTTGCAGATTATGAATCTCGCTGCTTACGCAACCTAGACCAAAAATGAATCAGTAGAACGTTTCCACTTGCGTGGCCAGGATCTATGCTAATTGTTAGAACAGAAGATAGCGTTTACATGAGAATAGAATTCATTTCTTGGTATACCAACATGGCTGCCGTTTCATTGTTTTAGAACACCAATATGGCCGCCGTGATGTCAGTGTGAAAACGCTCTGTAGAGCCCAGTTTGTGCAGCCAGCCAAAACATGGATACGTACGTAATCGGCGGTTGTGCCACAAAAAAAAAAGGAATGAAAAAAAAAAAAAGAATAACGAAACGGAAGGTTTAAAAAATACATAAATAAAACAAATTAATAAATCAAAGCTACAATTAACAGAGGACAAGCAGCCCTTGAGTATAGGTATATATTCAAAGTCTTTCTCACAGAAGTGTTCAGATTTGAAGTTACGCACACGGTATGTTTCTTAAGCATGAAGAACGATGTTACGAGTTCAGCGCCGTAGCTAGTATGAGGCCAACCGAGGCACTCGCCTCGGTAAAATTTTGACGAATTTCGCCGATCATTTTTATTTTACATAAGCGATCATCGGATATTTTTAACGCATCATGATATTACAAAGAATTCAGCAATTCAGTCAATATACTATGAAAAAATTACCATATCATCGATCTCAAGGGGCTACGTACGTTAACTCAAATTTTTTTTGAACAAATACTGATCAAAACCATTGGCGAGGTTAACGGTCACCCAGATTATGTAGCTTGTTTCTGATTATTGCTTTTTAAATTCCACTTAAATTAACTCGAAAAAAAGTTACCGAAAGGCCCAGAAAACGCTGCAAATCGCATTTCCGAGAGACTAAAGTTCAAAATTTCTCGGGGGGGCGGGGGGGGCATGCCCCCGAACCCCTCTAGCAACTCCCGCCTGCCTCGGTTGGCCGTTTGGTCTGGCTACGGCACTGGAGTTACGTATAGCAAAAATCAAAAGAAGCACGTTTCTATTGGGGATTTCCTCAACAAAACATAACAAACAAACACATAGTCCTCTGAAATGCCATTTCAAAGTTGGTACACTTTTACAGCAACACCACTGATTAGAACCTAGCTTAAAATTTTAGCCTTAATAGGTTCTTATGTGGAGGGGGCCTTAAAATGAAAATTTTAGCCTATATAACAGGTTCTTAAAACCCAGGTTCTTATACGCGGGGTTTTACTGCATGTTACTTTACGTCGAGGCTAACCCAGTATGAATATGTCGTTAATATTCTGATGTACGCTGATGACACTGTTTTATACTGTTCATCCTCTCAAGCCTCTGTCATTCAAGACAAGCTGAATGCAGAACTGTCTAAGATTGATCACTGGCTTTCTTTTAATAGTCTGTTTGTTAATGTAACAAAAACCGAAGCTATGCTTTTCGGAACCGCCCCTAGATTATCTGCTGTTAACTCTTTTTCTATTACTTTAAATAACAATGTAGTTAAGCGGGTTTTTCACTTCACTTATCTAGGTATAGTTTTTGATGACCGCCTTAGCTGGAACGAGCAAATAAAGTACCTAATTTCGAAGGCGGGAAAACGCGTAGGAATGCTCGGCAGGCTTCGCAGAAGCCTCACTAGAGAGAGTGCAAATGTAGTGTATTGTAGTCTAATTAGGCCAATTTTAGAATACTGTGTAAGTGTGTGGGGCTGTTGCGGGGAAGGTCGTAAACAAGACCTTGAAGCCCTCCAAAACCGGGCTGCTAGGATAGTGCCTTGTACTGTGCGCAGCAAGCAGGCATTGGACGTTCTGAAATGGCCCACCTTGGAGGAGCGCCGACGTCAATCTGTTTTTAAACTCGTTAAGAAATGCCTGCAAGGTCAATGTCCCCAGTATTTTAAACAATATTTTAAACGTAATAATACAATCCATGGGCGCGCTACTAGACAAAGCAACCTCTTACATCCGCCTGCTGTGAGAACTGAAATTGCAAAAAGATCCTTCTATTATTATGGTTGCACTCTTTTTAACGAATTATCTTATTGATATTCGTGTTTTACATCTTTTAATCTTTTAATTGAAAATAGTTTTCTATTTATATTATTACCTGTATTAGTGTAATGTTTATATGTTCAGTGTGGTTTTTGTGCGTTGTTGCTCAGGGCTCCCATTGATAACAGACAGCTTTTTGCGTCTGAAGGGGCTACCCTGAGCGGTATAAATTAATAAAGGTTCTTCTTCTTCTTCTTCTTCTTCTAATGTTTTTATTCAGCGGTAATTTTGTAATTAGACACTGGACTATTAGAGAGTTTTGTACGCATACATGAAATAGGAAAAGAAATCGCAATCTGGTGATATGCAACTTTATTATATAAACACCAATGAAATACCAGGCGAGCTTTCGCGCGAAAACTTGATATCTTCACATGTAAAAATAACGTGTTAACTTCACATATGAAAATATCACCGTTGCTATGGCTACATGATAAATCGCGCCTTTCACACCAAAAAACTATTTAAGTGAAATGGTTTGGTATTTCATTGGTGTTTGTATAATAAATAGAACATTGCATGGCCGCTTGGAGATACAAAATTTCTCGTCTCGTGTTGAAAAAGAGAAATTTCGTATCTCCGCGCGGCCATGTAATATCCTCTATTTATACTACAGCTTTTGAAGATGAAAAATGTTCAGTTTTTCATAAAAACAGCGTCAGTACCTTAGTATGTTTACTCGCTATTAAACCGGCGATGTGATATGCATTGTAGAGTAACTGTTGATCGGCCTTTCCCACGGCCGATGCATGCTCACCATGACGTTGTGAGATGTATTGGAAACCTGTCTGACCTCATAAAACATTTATACGCTTGGCGCAACACCAATGTTTATGACTTCGCCTAGGAGTAAAGGCTAATCACATTTTTAAATTTTCTCTGTGATAGTCTTTTACGAAAGTCATCTTTAAAAGCGTCACAGATTTATAGGCTAGCGGTGATGTGTTGTTGCCACGTTTCAAAAATATATTTTTATGTGTTTTATTAGATAGCATTTTGCATGGTAAATGCAGGCCGACTTTTTCGCTATGTGTTCTGTTTGTTTACTTTGGTATGTTATCTTTTCTGTGGGCCAACATATCTGTTTTCCATAAAAATTGGAGATGAAGTTTTCTAGTGTTTCAAAAGTTGCAGAATGGCGGTATTATGTGTGTCAAGAGCTCGATCTCACCTTTCTAATCGTTTCCTTTGAACACCTGAGGGTGAGATTGGTGTCCATGGAAACCAAACATTTTCTCCAGAAACGTAAATAATTTATCCAAAATTGAATAAAATTCATCTCATCAGAACACATTTAATTTATGGTTAAGGTTCAGCCGTAGATTACTACATCTTATACTTGTCAGTAAAATTTAGTGGGACGTTTTTGCCGTTCTTTTTTAGCCTCCAAATTTATACAAATGCCGCTAATATATTACTAAGTTGCGTTTTTTATGGCTATTCTTTCACTCCATTAAGCCTGGTCTTTTGTAGATTAGATTATCCGTGGCGTTTCGCCCAAGGTTTTTCTCATCAGACAGCACGATATTTCGCTGACTTTGTAAGCACTCTATTTTCTCAAGTATTGATCGTTTGGCTGTCACTAAACTTTTGAAGGGTATAGTTTATATTTATTTAAACTGCCTTACAATGCAATTCGTAAATTAAACCCATCACTTAAAGCTCTTGGTGGATTTTCATATTAAAATTCATGTTGTAGTTTTTCATTTGCTAATAATTATCACATCGAAAATTAGAAGAGTAATGTTTTTCTTACCTTGGGGCGAGTTTTCAACATTGAAAGCGGAGAAAAACAACTTTAAACTTTAACAGGACAAGTACGTTTTTTGAAGTTGATTTCTATGGAACTTCACGGGATAAGGTTGTTTTTGGTATTAATTTTGCAAGAAATCCATTCGTTGACAGTATCAACAGCTACCGAAAATGTAACTGTGGAAATTGCAATATTTTATAATTCCTCAAGTCGCTACATGAACAGTATTCTTCAAAATGCAAATGATCTGTTTCTTGCCAGTCGTCAAGAGCTTAAAAGAACACCGCAGAAGACTTCTAACGTGGAAATTAATATCCAGTGGCTGGATGAGACCGAAGTAGCCGGCAGCTACGCAAGTTACAATAATTCGTTCCTCGACAGGTGGAGTAATTCATTGCAAGTTCAAGGTGCAATTTTTGTGGATATTAACAGCAAGTCTTTGTTCCTCTCTTCTCTCTTGGAGTCATCGGCCATCCCAACAGTTGGCATCTTTCAAACCAGGGAACAGCCGAGAACTCAGGTATAATGTAATAAAATTACAGTTAATAGTATATACTCATGACATTTGTTTCCGTAACTTTGTAAAAGTGCGAGGCAAACTCGAACGTCAGCCTTTTAATGCCGTAAAGGACAAGGATTTTATATAACAATCTTTACTCTATGTTGCCTCTCTCGACGTATTGGCGGTGTTCGATTGACGATTTCGAACAAGTTATCGGTAATCGACAACTGAATTAACAAAGTATATATGCTTGTTTGATATGAGAATGTGAAGATTAGCAAGGAAATGTCGATGATTTTAGGGAGTTTAACTTACAACAGCCTACTTTCGCTAAGAATTTTATTTTCCACGAGGAATGTTGAAGAATTAAAGATGATTGATCCATCAGCAATAGCTATTAAAGAAAACTCTAGGATGCATTCCAGTCGACGATATGCCGTCGAGCTATTAAGTTCAAAATATTATCCAAAGATAATTAATTTCTCTCGTGGATGAATTTTTACAATCAAAACAAGAATACAAAAATTAAACCAGAACAAAAGGATGCTAAATTGAATAGCCCCGAGAAAATCTTTAGAGACTGATCTTGAAAAAACGATTTTCGGACAAGCTCAATCAGGTTGAATCTTCTCATTATTATTGTGTTTACTGTTGTCTTGATTCTAGTGCACCTGTTTAATGCGTGGTCTGTACTCGTTTAACAGAACAAGGAATGTAATGATCATAATATAAATGCATTTATGATTACGTTCTTTATTTATCCAACAAAAAGGGTCAGTCGTTTTAAACTGAATGTGTTTGAAAGCCAAAAATTGCATGACATTTTACGTATATGAGTCAGCACAGGCGGCCCAAACTCTGTGGGAGTTCGTTGGACTTGAGTCAGTTTCAGCCGGTACAAGCTAAAAACAAACTTCATATCAAACCGAAGCCTTAATTTTGATAGCTGGTATGTTAGAAGGTTAAATATTCCCCCCAAATGAAAAGTATTTGAAGATGCGTTCGTAACAACACAAAAACTAAGTTATTGCGAAAATTTTTGTTTTTATACCATTTTGAAAAGATCAACAAATGTTGAATAGCTGCGATGAATTACAATGTGGTGCTAGAGGTGTGCTATATATTGTTGCTACACCTCTAGTTTGAAGTGGTTGTCCCGAATTTTCTCAGGTTAACAAACGAAAGAAAAAATTGCCCGTTTTTTTTTTTTTTTTTGGGGGTCGGGAATACATGTATTTTCCCTATTTTTTCTTCACGATAACTTTATTGATCTAAAATTTTGAACTCCAATTTGTTTATATCGGATAACTCTAAAAAAACTAACATTGCAATTTTTGTTACACATTTTCCGGTACCAAGGGTGTCTGAATTTCAATATTCTTTGTCAGTTCTGACTTGCAGGGATTTTTCTTCAGTTCAAGGTTATCTATTTTCCTTAACTCCATCCACCAAACAAACAAACAAACAAAAATACACTCGTCAAACTTCATTGTAATGATTAATCTAAATCGGAACTACTGTTCTTAAAGGTTTTGTCAGAAGCTTTAACGCCTATATCAAGGGCCTCATCACTGGGATCTGACTGCAATGAAGCCTCTAGCAAAATTAAGGACAAAAAGCTTATTAAATAGCAGGACTGCGTGGGCTCTTCTGATCTTACGCCCTGTTAAAAAGTCTCCTTATGAACTAGGTAGATTAATTATGATTCAAAAAACGGTTTTTAGATTAACGTTTCAAGGTGCGAAAGTGATGTTAATCGATTTTACTGTTCCTGGTCAACAGGTGTAGGGTTTGATAAAAAAAGAACCAAACGTTTTGTCATATAATTAAAACTTTTAACTCTTCAGGTATTGTCTATTCAATGTATATGTGTATTTGGTACATGAGATAATGCCTGAGGTCCGAACCTTTCTTAAAAATATTCAGACGGAGCGTGTAGCGCGAGGTTATTATTTTTCTAAGGCCTAGTCGTCACAAATTCGGATATTTTTTAACAAAAAAGACAAAGAAAACGGCGATTTTTCCCTTCTTTTTCAAAAAAGTACGCATCCACACGTAGCGTATTTAAATCATTTGCCCCTCCACACAAAAACGCATAAACGACGCAAAAAGAGTAGCGTCCCTTACAGCGTGCCCTTTACGATGTGTAATATCATCGTATTCCGTTTTCGTTTGTCCACACAAAAACTACAATCCGGTTAAAACGGAGTAAAAGATCTGCGTTATTAAAAATATACAGATACGCGTGGACGAGGCAAGAAAGCCGAGGAGCGAGGGCATTATCTCACTTTATTATGCACCTCAGTTTCCATATTGTTTTGGAACCTGCGTGTCAATACTGTATCAATTTAAGAAAAGGACCTCCTGTTCTACTTCAGTGACCTTTTATTCTGTTACTGAGAATAATTTATTGATCAAGATGGGGCATTTATTTAAGGCAATGGCGAATTTGGTGACATTTCGCCAAACATTTTGATGATAGAGCGCATATGAAGAAAATCAACTTTCAGATGCAAATAAACTGGCCAGAGGTTAGGCCAGAGGGCCTTACAAAAGTCAGTGGCCAATATGGCGAAATTTGTCGTGTATATGTCGAATTATTTGACTAAAATGACAAAGTCTTTGGTGCAAATCAAAGGAACAATTCAACGGTGTTGATGAGACGGGCCCTACAAGAGTGGTGAATAGTGTGGATTTTGGGCAAAAATGCCCATTAAAGTTAAACTAAACATTTGACGTATTTTTGAAAAGTGGCGAATTTGGAAAAAATGAAAAATGGGAATGAAATTTCCTCAATTTCTCCCCCAGCTTCGCCAAAATAGCCAACTACTGACATTTTATAACCGGACTAGGTTTTTTCCGCAATCACGCACGCATTCTTCACCGTCACCTATAATTTTTTTTCTTTTCAGGAAAGTTCGGCCTATTTCAGTCGGGTGGCCTTGCCATCAATGAAACATTATACACAAGTAATCTGGGACGTCATGAAAAAGACAGGACGGCGCAGTCTAAGCTTAGTGTTAACTGCTGACGCAGACGGCAAAGAACTTGAGGATTCGATGACTGAAATAGTTCAGCGCGAGAAATGGACTATCAAAGATACGCTTTGGCTTGTCCAAAACAAACATGTAGGCCTACAAGTTAAATTGGAGTCCCTTATTTCAAAGCAGGCTGACGTCGTTGTTGTACATAGCAGAGATACAGAAAATGATCTTTTATTTCAAGTGATACAGTCTTTTAACATTAGTAAGGGGGGAAGTCTCTGGATTGTGACCGATGTAACAGAGTATGGAGTACAAGACATCAATGAGATTCCAGTTGGTTCTCTTAGAATAAGCTCTAAACGATGCGAACCACATCTGGATTTTAGTCTTTACTCAAAAGCTATCAATGATGCCCTCTTTCTTTATCAAGTCGCCTACGAAAAGGCTTTTGGACGAGCCAGACGTTTTGAAAGTGATTGTCTGCTTGGAGAAAGCTGTGGAAGACCAGAGATTCAAGATTTAGCAAATTTGTAAGTGTCCATTGTTAATTTATTATTCTGCTAATTATCGTAAGGTGCTTAAGGATTCGAAACAAGGAATCTAACTAGTTCTTCAGGCAAATAATAGCTGGCTTTGAGATGTTTGGAATAATTAATATGTTCTTGGAACGAAAGTGTTTCTGGGTAATGGAAGTAGACAATTCAGGGTGTCTGTGGGGATTTGCTTTCTAGAATAGTCGGTACAAGCCATTTGTCAGAAACGTGTTCCCCCCCACTGAAGGTGTGAATTTCGCCCTTAGGCCACACCTAATATCCTGTCCACCCCTTTATTTTATCCACCCCCCCCCCTCCCCCACTGAAGGGCTGAATTTTGCCCTATGACCACACACCCAAACTGGCTAGTTAAGTCTGGAGATACGTCTGCTGGCAAACTTCCCAGTAAATCAGGTTGCAGGTTGTAGGTGCACCTTGCTGGCTGGGAACTCTTCCATCAGTCTTGCTAGGAGTGAGGAACAGATAAATTTTTCCCAGCAGTTTCCCAAAATGCTTATAAATGGCTTCGGGAAGCTTGATTCATGCTTTTTGTTGTTTTTAGGTCTCTTTCTCGAAATGTCCCATTGGGTGCCCCTAAAAAAATATGACAAACTTTAGTTTTTAAAAAGAGGGTAATTTTTTTTTCTGGCACAAAGGCGTATTGTTTCAGGGCTACAATCTATCGTTTCTGTTGTTTGTTCACCCGATCTGTTAGCTATTCCGAGGGCTCCCATGCATCTCTTTCAGGTCTCCTTTGACCGCTGTTTATTCTCGCGGATGGTTTGTCCCCCTTCTATACCTTCAGTTTCAGTTTATTTATTTACCAGAAAAAAAAAAAAGCATAAAAATCAACAGGTATTATTTAAAAGTGGTGAGTCAGCTAAGGTTCTATGTCATGTCCCCTGAAGTTATTGCCTTTTGGGAATGTCCTCCTTAATCAAGCCCTCAATATCTGGCGTTGCTGTCTCATTATCTGGGCTATAATGGAAACTTTCCAAGGTGTTCCTGTTCATTGTGTGGCCTTTCTGAGTTATTTGAGCTGCGATGGCATTAACAAAAAAAGACCATGAAGTGTATGGAACAATGTAAAGAAACTCCTACAATTTTTTTTTATTTTTAACCGATCTTACGGGCAGTAAGTTAAACTGTTTACAGGGCAGCGAATTTTTAGAAGTGTAAGACGTCTTGCTAACCGTTTCTTTTCCTGTTTTATGGCAAACAAGATATCTCAAGGAGTCTTTCGTTGAAGGTAAGAGCTCGTTATTTGCGAAACCTTCCCTATACGAGACTTCTCAGACAACATTTAAAGTATGGAATCTACGAAAGAGTGGGATCAATGCCAATAAATGGGTTCTTGTGGGACAAAGGACACCGACGGGACTTGCTTTGGAAAATCTTATGGCCCCTAACGGAAGCACACTGACAGTCTCCTCTGTCCCAGAACCCTACGTTATGCGAGTCCCTGTTAATTTGTACTCTCCCTGGGTTCAAGTAGAAGACCCTCGATTCGATGGCAATGGGATGTTGTATTGCATTGGAAGAGGACAGCTTTGCTACAGGTTTAAAAATTCAAGCCGCATCATCGAAAAAACGTTTTGTTGTTATGGTGCCTCCATCGATTTACTTGTAATGATCCAGAGTGAGCTTGGATTTCGCAGCGAGATTTACTTTACTCCAGATGGCAATTATGGTGACTTTGACGTGGAAACAAAAAAGTGGAACGGAATAGTCCAGGAAGTGATTTCTGGGAGGGCGGATTTCGCGATTGATTTATCGATGAATGAACTCAGAGAAAACTATCTTGACTTCGCTCATCCCTTCGTTCATTTGGCTTTAAATATTTTGGTCTTAAAGGATGACCAGATTAGTTACGGTAAGACATAACTGTCTTTTTTAGGGCGCTTTCCATTTGTCAAACCTGGGCGGCCAGACTGATGCGGTTGTTAAGAGAATTTCACTTTTAATGAGTACTATTCAGCCAGACCAGTTTGTGCATGCATGACATGCACTGAAATGATAGGTTTAAGAGAAAATCTTGAGAAAAAGACTACTCTTTCATTTTGAAAATGACCGGTTCTGTTGGCTAGTTCTGGCATTTGAAAAGCGCCCTTTGATACAATAATAAATAGACTTCTGTGCATAATTATATTTATGCTTTGGAGAAAAATTTGGTTTTTGCTTTATTGCTTCCAAAAGGTAGTATGCAACTTCATTCGAATATCTTTACTGCATTCATTTTAGGCATCCCACTGATGAACGGTTACTACTAACAGTTAAAAGATATTTGCAGTAGTAACAATCGACTATAGACTGTCCGTTTTTAATTAACAGTATCCGCCCAAATTGAAGAACTCGATATTGTCTGATAGTAGCGACGTAAGCAACGTATATGGTAACCTATCTAAGGGCGAAAGAAATAGGCAGAATGGCCAAACCCATAATCTGATGTTTTTTACTTCAATAGATTTGCAGTTAGGCTATTGGCTTCATTTAACCTAAAATGTGATAATGTAACATCGACTAGGAATAAAGGGAATTGGCTCAAGCTACACGTACTCTTTTCCTCTGTGTTTCAGTACAAGTCTTGATTAGCTGGCATAGCTTTTGATATGTTACCCATGAAAGGCTGGCTAATCCCGATTTACTTGCTTAACCCTTTATAACTGATATTAAGAGCGTGCTTTTTGTTGGGCAGAAATCCAGTGGAGCTCTTGGCTGGAACCGTTTCAATATCAACTGTGGTTTTCCATCGTTGGATTCATCAATTTTATTTTATTGGTAATCTGGTGGATCGACTGGAAAAGTCCTTACGGACACTTCAGAAAGCTGAATGGTGGAGATGAAGGCTTTACGCTGTTAGGTAATTGATACTAGTTGGTGTAGTCAGACGAAATCTCAGACTAATTTTGCATCAAATTATCTTTGTCTCATTTGTTAGTGTGTATGTCTTTCACTCAAATTAGAGGTCATATCTTTTCGCTTATGTCCAGAAAGGCAAGAAAACTTCGGAACTTAGGAACGTCATATTACACCAAACTATTTCCAACTTCCACATGACCCCATTTAGACGCAATTGCTTGCGTTTAAGTGAGAATTGGGCGTAGGGGGCACTTCCTGATGTCTATCAGAAGACGCGTGAATCTCATTAACTTGCAATCCTAGAAATATCTGTAGTTTTTACGGGTTTCAAAAAGAGACTACCGTGTATCGTAATGAAAGAAAAAGAGCAGCGAAGAAATGTTAATCAGTCTTACCACTAGAAAGCCGATATTTACTTGTCATGTGTAAGCTGCGTTTTACCCACACTTCGATGGACTTCAAAAGATTCAAACATTTACCTTACTCATAAATTGATGGGCAAATGGACTTATGGATAGATCGTCCATCCTATGTTAGGAATTCATGGGTTCTTTCTTTGTCGCTTATTACATATCTTTATTCAAAATTATTATGATTCCAAGATCGTGTAAAATCGCAAGAATCCTTCAAGTGTTTTTAGATTGCCAATGAAAATTCAATTTTTTTTCAGATTCCTAAGCAAGCCAGTCTTTTTCTATTCCAGATTCTATGACTTATGTCTGGGGAGTTGCATTTGGCAAGGACATCGGAGCTGAGAAGACACCTCATAGCAGCAGTGGGCGATGTGTCTCCACGTTTTATGCTTTCTTCGCTCTGATCGTCGCCAATACGTACTGTGCAAACTTGATGGCGTTTCTTGTTCAAGAAACCTTCGAGCTGCCTATAAGTGGAATAAGGGACTCAAAGGTCACTGAATTAAACGTTGTAGTAGTGATATGAATGATACTCTCAATATTCCAGCCTCGATAAACTCTGTACTACGGGGTTAGTCTCCATCTGTCTATATTCACCAGTTCTAGCCAAAAGACAACCTATATTAATAACTCTGTACATTATTAAAATTTTAAATGCTAGCATCTTTCCACCAGCACAATATGTGAATATTTTACTTCAGATGGAGACTACCCCTGTAGAAACTTGTCCGTAGTGTTTGAACCGTACATAATTTCAGATAAAGGAGTGTGAAACCGACTCGTGGATAGCATAAGTAGATTCCAATTAATTCAACTCGTAAACGTCTTATAAAAGCCAGCACGTAAACACTTTGCTCTTATTTTCTTAGAAGAATTCATTAAGCTGCATCAGTACGACTACTGTTCGTTAATTTTTACTCTGCCCGTTAGAAATGAATGACGATGCATCCCAAGCAGAATTATTCTCACATAAGAGCACTTGAAGGCAGTGTAGCGCGAGCAAAGTAACTCTTGAACACCAATTTTTTTTAGTTTATACTAAAATAGGATCTTTTCCGGTTTCCATGCAGACAAAAGAGGCAAAACTATCCACAACGTTAAAAGCAATAATAATTTATTAATTTTCTATAGTGCCTCTTAACGTTGTTGCTAATTTGACAACTAAACTTGCTTTTCTTTTTGGTCCTATCTTTTTGTTTTTGGAACTAACACAAGACACATTTTCGAAACAAAGAGCCACTTATAGCGGCTGTAAATAACCCTTGTTATTTTTGAGACCTACCCTGGCATATCTCATACTTAAGGTATGAAAAATATTGTCTTCTACTTTTGCCCTTTATGTTTTGATATCTTTTGCAGATCCGACATCCTTCCCTTCAGCCACCAAAGGGATTTAAAATTGGAATACTGCAAGATTCACAGGAGGAATCTTACTTTCAATTCCATAGCGAAGATATATTCCGTGAAATCTACCACCTGAATTTAAAAGTAAATTTGGTCAAGAGTTTTGCAGACGGAATACAGAAACTGAAAAATAGGTTAGCAACTCTTTTCTCATATTATGCTCTTTCATACTGTAACTTGTCGAGCTTACTTACAAAGTGCTGTTTTATCTATTAATGCATTACAATTTTATTTACGAGGACCCGTTTTTCTTGCTGAGGTCTACTCTTACTATTATGCAGGGAAATTCATGGCCTTGTTGGGGATTATCTCTCGCTCAGTCAAGTTGCAAACAAGGACCTCAATTGCTCCTTTAGTCTGGCGGGGCCAAACTTCTTCAACTTTGGACTGGGACTGGCAATGCGTAAAGCATCACCATGGTTACAGGATGTCAATCAGGCTGTACTAAAGCATCAGGAAAATGGAACCATAGAAGCTATAGAAAAACGCTGGTTTAACAAAAAGAGTTGCGATTTGAATCCTTTTTCTGAGCTTGGCATCATGAACTTCAGCGGTCTGTTTATGACGGTTGTTATTGTGTCGAGTTTTTGCGTGTTTGCCATTTTGGTAGAATTTCTATTAATTTTGATGTTTATGAAAGTGGGAAATCGACTGGGAAAGTTTGGGAAATTCGTCAAACGGTTTGTTTTCAACTTGAAAAAGGGGGAAGAAGATGAAGTTAATATAAAGTACTGGTTTGTCTTTAGTCAACGAAATCAAACCAGGGATGTTTCGGCCAGTAAGGAAACTTCAGAAAAAACGTTTCAAGAGCTTGGTTACCTTAACGATGCATATGTTACTCCAGGGGAAACAAGTCTCCATAGTGCATTATTTAACACACAAACTGAACAACGATTCCATGACGACGAATATTTTGCGTCTACTAAACAATCGATGAAAGGAAAGAAATTAAGACAAAAAGAAACTGGTAATCATACGACGAACAAAAACCACGAAATGTCAAACGGAAAGGCGACGTATGAAACCTGCAAGTACGCGGATGCTTCTGACAGTAGCAAGACTAAAAGTTTGAAGCAAAATGGGTTTGTTGTGACAAAGCTATAACAGCAATAAATATGATTAAACGGGAAAAAGGGTTTGACCCAGTGACAGATCCAGACGTTCAGAGAAGTGGGGGGGGGGGAGTCATCCAGACCCTGAAATAGGAGGGAGCCCGGTCTAAAAGAATTTTCTTTTCGGCCCTTTGGGCTTCAGTTTGGTCTAAAAATAAGTGGGGCCCGGGTCCCCCGGGCGCCTCCCCTGGATCTTACACTGTCAGACCAGAAATGCCTACTATTTCCACAAAACCCAGGTGGAAATCTTGTGCATGAACATTAAACTGTAAAATTTGACAAGGTGGGCGAACGATCCGCTACAAAGTATAAACAAATCAGCTGAAAAGACTAAAAAGGGTAGAAAAATTGCATTGCCTCAAATCACAGCCCATATTTCCTGAAACTTCCCAAGCGGAATGGCGCGAGCCATTTGATTTTCCAACCGGAATTTTCGGTTTTTTCATGTTAATAGTCACACAGGTATAATTAGTTAAGTAAATGTTCGCGTCTAGTTACCGATTACATTAATATTTATTAAATAAAATATTACGAAATTGAAAGCTACGTGGACTTTGTCAATAAATAACCGCTGGGAAATGAGCCCGAGTTGGCTAGGAAAGTGTCTTATCAGGGTTTTTAAACCCAGTAAAGATCTTGTAAATCAACTCTTATTCTCAAACAAAAATCAAGGTGAAAGTTCTAAAAGTTACGTCTGCGGCTATGATAATTTCGAAATGGGAACCTTGACCCAATCTCGTTGGAGCCGAGAGGAACTAGTAAATGATTTTAGGGAAAAAGTGTGAAAACAACGTTTTAGTGTTGGCACTTTAAAGTTTCAACAAACAGCAAAGGCTTTCGGTAAAAAATTATGTTTCTTAAAACAAATTAGGATTTGTGAAAGGCGAGCACGACGTCCAGTAAGCGTTATCCCAAAATGAAGTTAGTTTAAACCCTCTCTGGAGGTTCAACGTTAGGCTTCCCTATTACCAGAGATTTCTTTAAAAAGCTGTATTTTCGCGGGTGGCATTCCTCTCCGTCGGTTTTGAATAGAGTCTCCCCGGCCCAACAGTGGGTGTACCTTGTCAGAACAAAAGCAATAATTTTATCAAGGCAAGCACTGGGCGATCACTCGGGAATTTTTAGCTTCAAATCAGAAATCGGATATAGCAATGATCAATAGGGCGTCTGTAGCTCCCAACATAAAAAAAAAAAGTCACAAGCCCTTTTAAGACAACGGTTAAGTACTGTGATCACCTCAGCTTCATCTTTCATTCAGGTGCAGAGGCCACCGCGGCCGTACAAGCGAAAGAACAGGCGGATCTATAGCTCTCTCGTCAGTCTTGCTTCTCCTATTCTCGTCTGTTTGAAAAAAAAAATGCTCTTGGGAATATGGAGTCCTCCTGGGCATTTGGGACACATAAGTTAATGCAAAACTTGGGGTACTGGAAAATAGAAAATTACAATCCGCAAAGTTTGACCCATCTGTGTCCGGAGTGCACACTGAGCTACACCAGTAACTCACAAGAGTTGAAACAACTTCATGAATTGTTTATTCAAAATCTCAACCTTGACACTACCTCATGGGAACTCAGAAAAAATATCAAAGAAGCTTATCATCAATAAGAAAAAAGTTCGATCACGTTGTTAACATCGTGATAATGTTTGGGATAAGCGATTGTTTTTGAATGTGTTTCCACGTTCCCATTAGATCATAACTATAAGAAGAATACAAATAAAACTATGTTCTTAGTGTCGCCGGTAGAAACTAGGTTTCAAGCCGATCTTTGGAATATTTGAATGGTTGGAAGCTGTGACGCCACTTATAAGTTAAAAGTTTCCAATGTTATCTAAGGAAGGCAACACTGATTATGCACGTAGGAACGCCCTCTTTAAATACGTTAGTCAATACAGGCACCACCTAACTGATAACTGAACGGATCTACTATCATCACATCAGTAAACAGATCTCTAAACAAAATGCAACTCAACGGATATAACGGATATACTGATCTCTTGTCAACATATTATTTTGCTGAATTACAGGCATTAAAAAATCAGGGCGAAGACTTTATAATTGTACATAACGCTCCTTGCTAATACCAGATAAATAAAGACAACGAGGTGATTACCGACTTGCAACTTTACAACGATTCAAGAAAACATTTCTTGCTCCACTGGCTTACTGACCCATGGGCCATATTTCGACGATTTAAAATAATCGCACAGTTTACGCTTAGCCTCTTGAAAGTCAGTCGCCATCTTTTTCGCTTCGCAGTAGGTTTCAGCGGCCATGAGTTCCTGGCGGCTTAACTTGGCGCTTATCTCTTTGAAGGATGAATACAACGCGGCCTTACAAACGCGTGAAGGAGTGGGACTGTTCTGTGTCCGTGTCATGCAAGCGCCCGTGCGGCCATCGGTCACTTCAGGGTAGGCATCACCAATTGACCAATTGACGCTAAGGTTATTTGTCTTTTCTGTCTCGCGTGGTGGATCATACGCTGTAACACGACCAAGCCATGGATGATTCACGTGATACGGAGATGGAAGCAACGTGTTGAGGTCACTGTTGTGTTGCAGACGACAGCAGACAGCGCGTGAGAGATGACCATGGTCGTATAAGTAGCCTAGAGTGAGCGACGCTAAGTAAACGGGCTCAATGAAGTGACTCAGAAGAGCACCCTGCAGTCCAAGAACATTCCAACGGCAAATCTTATCACTGCAAGACATGGTACGTAATCTGTTGCCCCTCAACAGGCCATCCCATGTTTGAATTCCATCGGAAGGGTCGATAGGAATCGTACCTTCGCCATCTTCGATCTTTGTTCTAAGGATTCCCTGTTGTTTTGTGGTGAATATAGGGTTATGCTGTGTTGAGTGTTCTGAAAAGTCAGTGTTCGGTTCCTCTCGGGGAGTAAACAGAGCACCGTCTCCGCAAGGCGCTGTACTTATATAAAGATGAAATGACAGCTCCTCGCGTACTACGAGCCTTGAGGAACCTTGCTTTGCAATGAAAATGGACTCCTTCCCTTCGCAATACTTGCCTAACTGGTTGTAGAAGAATCGAAGCAGGGATCTACGAGCTACAATTTCAGCGTGAGAATCGTTCACGGTCTTTCCTTCCATACTTAACCGCTGACCAGTAACGCAGCGATTCCCAGTTCCAAGAGAAACAACTTGGCCAGAATCATCGGCACCTTGTTTCATGATAATGCACGCCACAACCTTTCTTCCAGCAAATTTATCAGCAATGGACGCTGCAATCTGAAGAAACGTGTGATGCGAAAGAGCAGCAATAAGATCGAAGTGGGTACGGACTTTACTGAGAACGCTGGCAGAGGGGTTCGTGATGTTCAATGGCGAAGTACCATCCATTCCCGTATGTGCAGCCCGACCTAGCAAGCTTCTTAAAGCGATATCTGCAGCCTCGCGCCTAGCATCCTTCATGTTTCTGGCATTTGCCGCAGGGAACAGTTTTCCATTGATTTTTGCAGCAACAGCAAAAGTAGGACGCTGGCTGAGGGTTTCAAAACTTAATTCCATTTTGTTTTTTTGCACGTACTCATTTAGAGCACTAACGGGGTTTTTGTTCATTGCTGCATAAGCGACACTGGAGAGGACATCTGGAAGATCCATTTGAGGGCCTGAAGGTGCTGGCGGGATTGAATTATAGTTTGCAACGCTAATGGATGGCTCACTGGTAAATGCTTGTGGTGTGAGACCTAATAATCTGTTGTCATTTCCTGAAGATGATAAGGAAATCTGTGTGTTTTGAGATGGAACTAAAGCTGACTGTAACTTTGGAGTAAACACGTTGCTCTTTATTCCTCCAAATTGGCCAGCCACAGGCCCCTGCTGTTCAGACAACCCAAACGCAGGTGATGACGACGTCGAGATAACAGGTTTCTTTAGCGTTTGATGCCCTTTATAGTTATCTGCTTCAGGATATGGTCTCTTTCGATCAACTCCAGCAGAACCTGAATCAGCACCTGAACCTTGGAAAGTCAAGGAACTCACTTCTTGGCGTACCTTCCAAGTGGGAGGGTGATCGTGCATCTTGTAAATCAAACCTAGCGTCTGGAGTTTGTAAAGTGTTGGATTAATCTGTTTCTTTGTGTTCAAACCAACTTGTCTGGCCAGTTGAAGAGTATCGCACGACTTCCTTTCTCGTTTCATGTATTCAAGTACTCTCCTTTCCAAATCACTAAGTGTCGTGGGCTGTTTAGAGAGGGTGCTTAGTGGGCTCGTGCTGGAGGTTGGGACTGCCTGGGGACCTTTCTTGACAAGATTCTGAAAAAGGTGTGCTGACGGAGGTGGTGGCAGCTTGGCAGTACCTTGTTTTGGGAAATGCATGAGAGAAGGCTGACGCAAATCGGTAGCAGATTGCACCTTGTGCTGTAGCGTATTCCCTCGAGATGATGAACTCGGCGGAGACTGGCCCATGGGTAAATTTGGCTGGTCCTGGCCAAATGCCGAAAACATATCCTGGTGAAATGTCACGGTTTCTTTCTGCTCGTTTTCATTTGAGTTCCACGGTTGCTGGGAATCATTTTGAGACATTTGGCCACTTGCACTTGAGCTATGTAATACAAGATTTTGACTGCCAAAGCGAGGCTCTGTCGTGGGCGGGCGCGTTGGTCGAGTAACAGGCAAAGACATCAAAGGACGAAGTGGTGCCATCGTGGGAGATTGCTGACTTGGTCGAAGAGGAGGTGAAAATGTGGGTCTTGCAGCCATTGCAACAGGTGCTGGTTTTCTGGTGCACTGCGACATCAAGGTATTGAATAGGTGAGCTGATGGGGGTGGAGGGGGTCCTCCTGATGGTGTTGGCAGGGGCGCGGGTGGACGTGTGGACGCACCTAGTGTGGCAGATCTGCTGTGAGCCATAGCAAAAGCAGGATCAGATGAAGGAGATACACTGCTCAACCTAACAGCACCAGAGGGTTGTGGACAAGGATCTTTATTGGATTGCAGCAGTGGATTTTCATCTAATAAAGGTTCAGCTGAGCGGTTAACAAGGCTTGGGTTGTTGTCGACATCTTGCTCACAGAACATGCGGTCCTTACTTGAAGAACCTTCGTTTGAATTTTGAGAAATTTGGGTCTTGGCAGAACCACGATCACCTTCTTTTTCATTTTTTACAAAGGACAGTGATGCACACAAATCACCTTTTTCCAGGTTTCCTGAAGTTTTCGATTGTTGGCCATCTCCATCACTCAGATTTTCTTTCGCTTCTAAGGCCCTATCCTCCTTTCTGTCCTCCATAAATTTCTCCTGTTCTTCCTCGTCATTATTGTCAGATTCATAATCAGGTACCAGTGGTGGCAGTTCAGGTATTTCTTTATCTCCCCTCTTGCTCTCTGTTGTTGACTCTCCAATTACCCACATGGGAGGCATTTTCATTTTTCTGACTATTTTCTTTGTCTCCTCCAGTTTATTGATGCACTCTATTACACTTGCTTCACATGTGTGGATGGCAACACTGTGTAGAATGTCATTGAGTGTGCAAGGGTGCGATGACACCTGCAGAGCACCCAGGATTTGCTTTTCTAAGGATCCATTTTGCTGTGGACAGCTTTCTCCCCGATGTTTGCCTTTTGAGTGAGACTTCGAAAGGTTCTTTGTTTGATTATCAGCTGAGACACAATTGTCTTCACTAGGTGGTCTTTCTGCTGCGTCTTTAACATCGAAGCTTAATGCTTCACCTCCTGTGCAAAATCAAAAGAGTAGTGACTCATAATCAGAAAACAAATTGCACTAGGTGTGATGTAAAGCTGGCACACCCGTTAGTCAATCAAAATTTCCTCACGCAGTCAAACCCAATCAAGTTTTTCCTTGATTGAACCAACTTTAACATACATACTTTGCATTAAATCATCTTTTTAACGAGCAAAATGTAACTTCGATCATAAAACAGACTGGTTGGAAACCTAACAGTTAAAAAAGAAAATGAAGATGGTGACAAAGTGAGACATACACCATCTGACAGTGTCCTCAAAGTGTCTTTATCTCAACCTGTCCCAAGAGATAGGAAGTAAAAGACCACTTATGGTAATGCTATACAGTGTACACAGTGTATCTGTGGCGCTACTTTGGTAAATCTTGGTAAAGTGACCATCAGTAGAACCAATCACTACCATGAAATCTAAGGGCTTGTGATGATAGCCTGGGGCAGGTACATGTAAGCCTATAGCTTAGTTTCAAATTAACGTAAATATAGAACCAAATAATCCTGAATCGAATCAAATGGCTATCACTGGAAATAACCAAGAACTTGAATTATATATTTTCATTCCCTAGAAAAGTGTCCACAGTAAAAATCAACTACCCAGATATTGGCCATTTCAGAGTTGTGTCGGGAACTGGGGTGAGTTGCAAATTTAAACTAATCGACAAACTGACACCATCATATAAAAGGTCATGATGAGATTGGTTATTGGACCAAGTTTGGTGCCCTAAGGTTGAATGGGGATCAAGTTATGACTCTTGAAACATGGTTAAAGATCAATTCAAACATCTGTAATTTTGTGACAGCGTTCCCCAAAACCATATAAACTCTTAATTTCTTTCACAATTTCTGTGATATTCTTGAAAATGAACAAACATAGTGATTTTTGAATTAGTTCCTTCCAAGTACATGTAGTAGGTGCATGGCGAATTTTACAGTTTAACAGAAAAACTGAAAAATATTTTGAAGAGTTTGTATGGTTTTGGGGGATGCTGTCACAAAATTACAGACATTTGTAAGGATCTTTAACCATGTTTCAAGAATCATAACTTGATCCCTGTTCAACTTTAGAGCACCAAACTTGGTCAATTAACCAATCTCAACATGACCTTTTATATGGTGGTGTCAGTTTATTGTTAGTTTAAATTTGAAACTTGCCCCAGTTCCCTATGCCACTCCAAAATGGCTAATACATCAGGATTTCGCCGAGCTGGGGTGTATACACTTTAGTACATGTAGATGGGGAATTTCTCTTGGTTCCATTTTTGTTTCCTACACAGGAGGTACTGGGGTCATGCTTGTAGTAAATGGGGAAAATTTATGGCACCTGGCCCTTAGTGACAGCCCTGTCACCTAAATGGCATATAAAATGTCTTTGGATATTAAACAGTTAAGAAGTGACATAGCAAAGATAACACATCTTGAACACATGTAAATGTCACTAAAATAGTGCTGTATGGTCAAATTTGAATTTGAAAATACACAATTCAGTAGTATAAGTAACCTTTCAAGTACGTCTATGCTCAGCCGCAGCTACAATAAAGACGTCAATCTTTTTTACTATTTTATTCCAACAGAATTACACGTATATACTTTGTTCCAGAAAACATCAATACCCCATCACAAAGCAAAGTTTTCCTAGGACCCCCCCCCCTTTCTTTTATTTTTTAGATGAAAAAGAAGGAGCCCTACCCACCCAGCCCCCATGTAAAGGTCATTTTCATGAAGAAACATGTTTGGTTAAGATGAAACATTTACCACAAATGATACAGTTTAACTTATTTATGTCCTAAGAATAACCTAACAGATCAGTAACTAGTAATTTTCGAACTAAGGTAAAAATGAATTGAAATTCACCCCCCCCCCACCTTGGAAAGTGATCTAGTTGTCCATACTGCTCATCTCGAGGATTTCCTGAGCCTCTGACATCCTAATCTGAACCTCCTAAGAGTCCTAGCACCTCACCCTCAAGGAATTGATAATTCCTTCCACATTAGGCGTTTTTAAAAACCATATTTTACAGAATCACACATTTCCAAGTGAAATTTATGGGTTCACATCAGTGTAAGAACCTGACAACTGAGTTATTCTTGGATCTGTGGCTAATACATGTACTTCTTGGGCTCTCTTGGTTTTACATCCCTTGTAGTTTACACTACTAAGGTTCTTACACTAAGAATGAGCCAAATGTTCTGTGTTGAAGGTTACAATGAACATGTAAATGAGAATCTACTGTTTTCACAATGCATTAAATAAAAGTTCTTTTTTACTGCTTTACTTACATGTACATAAGCGAAACCCAGTAAAATACAACTCCATAACATTTCATATGCCGTTTCAAGATATCATTGCGCAAAGAGACATTCAAGAGATTCAAATAGTAATATCTAGTTTTAAAGCATTTTGTAGAGGAAAATTCTCACGAGATTCGAATGATCTCCTAAAAGTAAAGTGTAGTGCGTGCATTTAATAAGTTTACATAAAGTTCTACTCACGCGTTTTCCTTTTAACCAAGGACAGCTGAGAAAAAGAATTGCACACAACTGGCAAATTCCCTGAACTTTTCAAAGCCATATCCCTCAAAAAAGTTATTGAGATAAATGCATCTTTCAACTTTCAATTCGAAACGTTTTGTGCTTGTATAGCAGAAACTCAATCTTATTCCCCGCACGAGTTTCGGTTTCGCACAACGCGGCGGCCGGAAACGCAAAAGGGGGTTTCATGAATTACCGCTGTACATCGCATACGTTTACCGCAATATGGTCTTCGATAAAAGCAATGGTTGTGGTTCTGTAAACTGATTTAAATTGCTGCGCTTCTTTTTCTGTATCATTGGGTGTACTTTTTAAGCGGTAACTTACTACAAAAAGCTTACCTTCATCTGATCTTTCCCCTACACAATTTTTCTCAGTTTCGGTTTCCCTTTGCGCTCGAGTAAATTCCCACTTGGGAGGCATTTCACTCGTTTGTGTTAGAACTCCTTCACGTACAAGTTCAAATATGGCTACGTTCACAATAGCATTGCTCTTAATCTCCAGGCGATCCATAATTTCATGCAAGGAGAATGACCCATTTTCGCACGTAAACAAATCCAAAACCTTTTCTTTCCATTCGGCCGCCATGTTTTCATCCATTACCCAGAATGCAACCTTCAATACTACCGCTGATCAGCTGAATACGCCACGCTAAGAAACACCAGTTGTCAAACAAATTTGCCGCTTTTTCTTAGGTCCAAGCTTGCTGAAATGCTTCATGATTTGAAATCCTAAAGATGATTTCATCGAGCTTTTGCAAATGCAGTGTCGGAATTTTGATTAGGGGATAAGATGGGTGAGGTTCCTGTGAAAGTTGCCGTTCGGGTAAGATTGTGAGTAGGGTAAATCGTCTTCTCATCAGCTTACTCTTAGAAATTAAGCTTACTCTGGCTTACTGTCCTATAGTGTACAGTGTAGCACTTTTTTTTAACGTTAGTAGACCCGTCTGCAGAGTATGGCAGAACTCGATGAGATCTCGCGCGTGCAAGGCCGTTTTTAGGCCCTTATTTCTTATATATTATTAAAAAACAAACTCGCGCGTGCACCTGCCATACTCTGCAGACTGGTTAGTAGATTGTGCTTGCAGTTCGAAAATGACATTTGTTTTAGTTATGTTGCATAGTATATCAGGGGTGGATGCAGAAAAGTTTGGCGGTGAAGGTCCAAATAACCCCTGGTCGTCCTAGTTGTTTGAAAGTTGGATGGTACTACTATCCCCTGGGTAAATCACTATCTAGCTTGTAGTTGGCAGAAGTACTGCATTATCCATTAGATACTCATAATAATTTACAGGCATCTTGCACATAGTGTTGATGTTTAGTTTATTGAAACTTATCTGTCACATTTAATCTGCAGTTCTGTTTATTAATGTGACATAAGATTTGATTACATGATATAATTATATACACCTGTAGTTTTGGTGTAGTATGCAGTGTTAGTGTGATAATGATGTGTATAGACCTTGTCACGGTTTTCGGTGCCATCTTGACTAGGAGGCAAACGTGTGAGAAAACAGCTGTTCTACAGAAATTATTCGACGTTAGATTCTCATACAATCACTCTAATTTCTCACGCATTTGTCTACTTGTCAAGATGGCGTCGAAAACCGTGACAGGGTCTATTATATTCTTGTACACTGTTAGGCCTAGGTATGCTAACTATTTGCCATGTGTCTCCATATTCAAGGTTCGACCACTGGTTGGCCAGGAAAAAGTGCATAATGCTTCACAGTGTGTACGATTTATTCCCGACAAGCCACAGTTAATACTTGGAAAGGACAGAGGATTTACATTTGATTACGTCTTTTCACCAAAATCCTCCCAGGTTAGGTATATTGTATTCAAATAGAGTGTAACTACATGTCTGCAAACTGTACAATACATCATGTAACTGAGCAATTTACTGCACACTCATTGGCCAATGAGAGTTAGACCATCAAAATGACATATTTTAAATGCAATGATGGTGCAATTATTATCATTTGTTTTCATTTGTCTCTCAAATGTGATTTTCCAAGAAACTCTGCTGGAAATGGATGTTAAAAACTGTCAATGTTTCTGAATATTTTAAAGTGCAAATAGACACCAAATTTCCATTTTCTTTTAAGCTTATTTTTTTTTCATTACTTGTCAAAAGAATTGTTATATACTTGCATGTATCTGAAAACAGTTGAGTCTATGGTGAAAATGAATACCACAGTATACACAGCGCCAGTTTACGTCCATTAATCCCTTTGTTTGCAGGCAAGTGTCTACGATAAATGTGTGGAACCCCTTGTTAAGAGCTGTATGGAAGGATACAATGTCACTATTTTTGCTTATGGACAGACAGTAAGTGCTGATAACATGTGTAACAGACAACTGATATATTATTATTCTTGACACCTAGTGTACACACCCTTATTACAGCAAAGTGATTGTGTCATTGAGCTTCCCAAGTGAGCTATAAACATGTTTACTCAGAGAGTGTGCGCATGTGTGCGTAGCAGGCAAGACGTTTATTTCGAAGCTCGTCACTCTTGATTAGTTTTTGAGACTCAAATTTGCTGAAACCTTGACCAAAATGTTAAAAGACACAGTCCAATCATTGAAACTGGATTTGAATTTGTCTTGAAAACTAAACTCAGTTCATTCTATTAGGTTTCTATCTACATTATCCTTCCAGCTTCCCATGTAATCTGCCTTATTTCTCCTGATTCCCAAATGTTATTAATACTAGTCAGTATTCAGTATTCATCTTATTTTAATGTATTGTACGATAATAATTAATTTTACTTAGTATTGTAATTGTATTGTATTGTAATTGTAATTATTCACTTTGTATTTAGTATTCAGCTTATTTTAATGTATTGTACGATAATAATTAATTCTACTTAGTATTTTAATTGTATTGTTATTGTAATTATTCTACTTAGTGTCAAGCCACTGCTCGCCTCGAATAGCTATAGCTAACTGCGAGCAGTGGTACATCACATTTTGTATTTTCTCAATTTTTCTTAATAAACTTGAAACTTGAAAATTGAAACTTGTTAATGGGTCTAGGTGTTTAAAAATGCAGTATAAGTACATTCAATTTTTGTGATAATTTATGACAAATACTGTTGACTCCCAATTACTTGAACCCTTGCTAACTCGAACCAAAGTAGATTTCCCTTGGATTTTACTACATACATTTACTGTCTTTTACCCTCAGTAACTTGACCCACTGATAACTTGAACTTCCCGGCCCAATAACAAGTCAGAAACATTGAATTTATTTCAAAACAACTATTTCAGTTCTTTGTCTTTGCTTTTTCAATTGTTATTCCAGTTCAGATCCAGGGCCTATCCCTGTGAATTAATCAAGCTTTTGTTGTTTAATGCCTTTTTCAAAATATCACTCCACGTCTTTTGCTGCTCTTGAAGCGAAGTGTGCCTGGTACTTGCATTCCCTCCCCATCCTTTTGCATATTTTCTTATTTTTGGTTACTTGCTTTAAACCCCCGATAACTCGAATCCCACTAACTCGAACTTTTTTTTTATTTCAGTAGACGGTTCGAGTTATCAGGAGTTGACTGTAGTACATTTTTTGTCTAATGATAAAGAGTACATTTTTTCTTGCGTATGTTAAGGTTCCAACATTTTTGATGAAAGTGTTGTATTAATATGCACATAGGGCTCAGGAAAGACATACACAGTTGGTGGAACTGACAGCGCTGGCCTTTTGGAAGAAGAATATGGAGTTATCTTGAGAGCTGTTAAGCAGCTTTTCCAGATCATGGAGGTATGTAACTTTATTTGAAGATAAAAGATTTACAAAGTTTTTAAACTTTGTAAATGTGTTTCATCTGTACTAAAATTGTCTAACTTGGTTTTCTTATTTCACTCTGTGCATATTTCGATTGAGCATTTATTTATATTCTGTTCTGTAACTAAAACAACATTATTTATGGTTTCTTTGTTTTTTTTTTGATAACCATATAGTTTTCAACTGAGATATAAGAGATGAGATATAGATAAATCGTTTATTGTATAGATACTTTGCAGTCGTAAAACTGAATTGTGTATTTTACAAATAACATTATTAGTTAAAATATAAAACTAATTACAATCATATGAATATAAATGCCTTGTGTAGTAAAGCTAAAAATATGTATAAAAATCTTTAAAAAATTGTTATGTCAGAATGTTTGTGGAGTACTGTTATCTGTTTTACAAGTCTCAAATATGGTTTATTTGTTTGTTGCTTGAGTGGGGTTTGTGTTATGCTGCCAGTCCTTGTTGTTCCTTTTTTCTGTAACGACATAAAAGTACTAGCTAAAAATAATTGATTTCAAACTTTGTGTATTTAGTCTGACATTATGCATTTTTCTTGATTTTAAGGAGAACAAGCACAAAACAGAATATGCTATCACTGTGTCTTATATCGAGATTTACATGGAGGAGCTGAGAGATTTACTTGATCTAGAAACATCCAGTAAAGACATCCATGTCAGGGAGGATGAGAAAGGAAACACAGGTGTTCTTTATTGTTACTGATCTGTAGAGACTGAAACAATGTAGCCAGGAAAAATGTCAACACTAATCACTCACGGTTGGAGAGAGTGAGACATCTGCCTTTTGGTTCCCCAAAATTCCATAAGGATGACATAAATCTGTCCAGAATCTGGTCAGGATCTTTGATTGGTTGCCTTCTGTGACATATTGTGTATGCATGACAAAAAAAGACAGGACGAAGATCAATTTCACAGAGCGCTGAATCTACGCTGCTAGGAAACACTCAAATCATTATTGTAGTTTTTCTTGGTGGCACCAGATTCACTCATCTGCAGAATTCAAAATAAATATTTTGCCATAATTGAGAAGGAGGACAAGAAAATTGAAAAAAAAATCCAAAATCCAGAATCGATAAAGGGTGAAAAGTTACAAAATGTGCATGCACTACACTGTACCTACAGTACTACTGGGCTGGGGTTACTAGAGGTTTGGTCATAAAGGTCTGACTTTGGCTGTCTTTCAATTTCTGTACCACCTTAGAGAAGGATTACATGAAGAAAGACAGGATTCATTAAACAGCTTTCAGATCTAGAATAATGTTAATATGTGATAGCTCTACTGAACTTTAGAGAAACAAATTAAGTCATTTCAATTTGTCTCTTAACAGTGCTTGTAGGAGCAACTGAGCAACCAGTTAGCAGTGCTGATGAGGTTATGAGCTGTCTTGATCTGGGATCTGCTGGAAGACAAGTCGGAACCACCAACATGAATGAACACTCAAGCAGATCACACACAATTTTCACACTCTACATTGGTAAGACTGGACATTGTGTTTCCATGTGCAGACTGTCATTCTTTCCACATGCAACTACTAACTGTACTTTGCAGCATAGTGACCTTGTTTACAAGTTTTTTCTCTATGTGAGTGACTATAACCTTGGAGCAAGAAATAAATAATTTAATACATGTATGCATTATTTGTATTCAGCTGTGTATTAATAGGCCGCTTTTGAATTATCAGAATTTATCCATTCCTCTGAGATTGAGGGGAGTGCCTTACAACAACAACAACAACAACAACAACAACAACAACAACAACAACAACAACAACACTGTATTTCTTTT